AACCAACCGGTAAGGACAGAAGTGCGTCCAAGTTCAGAGGCCCAGAGTGCTGGAACTCAGAGTATCTAGAGCTCAGAGTTGAAGTGCACACAGAGTGTGACACTTATTTACATAGTTATGTGCTACTAATGTTCATATGCAATCATCCACCTGTAGTTGAATATACTCACTCAATCAAATGCAAAGTTCAATACCAGCTTTTGCTCCACTCTCCCACAGTGCACGGGGGTTTTCAGACTCTTGTCCACACTCCAGTCTCCATAGCACAACCTTTGACAAATGTGTATAGTGATAAGCCAAAGACAATTGTATAATGTACATCGAGGTTGATACTTGATTGATTAAATAATATGTGTCAGCTGTTAGTTTTTAATATTCAATTCTCAATCATATAGTGATAGGCCATGAATGATTGTATACTCCACATTAAGATTGATTCTTGATTGATTGAATAATAGATATTAGTACCCAGTCTTTGACTGGTCCATAACTGGTTATTATTAGTCATTACATATATGTTGATCATATTGCCAACATGGTTTATGCTGAGTGGCAGGCCTTTATTGGTTTACTGTACCCTAAAAACGGAGTTTTCACTTAGGGGTCTATTACAGTGTTTTAGCTAAAAGTGTGTGTAATGTGTGCATGTGTAGGAAAATAAACATCTGTTTTCCAATGCTCAGAGCTAACCTACATGTCTGGAGTGGCAGATGTGGCACCTTGCAATATGTTTGAAAACATTGAGATGTTAACCAGAATCAATATAACATATAATGAGTGTCATTAGTCACAGTGCACACACCAATACCACGTTGATCTTAGTTTACATAGAATCCTCGAGCACAGAACATCCATCAAGAACCCATTACAAAAGGTTTCATGCAATGCTCTCATTATAAGTTCTAATAAAATCAGAACACTGAGAGAAAATAGGGTTTCAATGAGTTCTCGAATCTTGGTGTTTATGAAGAGATTATCTGGTATCCTGCAGTGCTTTGACACTGCAAGCATCATGTTTCTATAGTGGATGAATGATGCAACCACAATCAAACATATCTCACACATAAACATAAAAAACCAGGCTGGTCTTTCTTTGACCTTTGTTTCACTTTGTTCAGGTTTTATAGTGAGATCTTATTCATCATAATCTTGCAAATGCCATTCAAACATTATATTCAACAAGCTCACAAAGTGATGTTCTTCAACATTGTTATAGCATCCAAACAAAGATCAAGGTTATCAGATGGTCTTCTCTTACAAAGATATACAGGCCTGTTCAACTATAACTTCAATGAAACCATTGTGGTATAACAACATATGAAGCCACTGGCTTCTATCAGATTCCACATGGCCCTTTGGTTGTATCAAATCAGGATAGGATCATGCATCACATGTGTGAGCCACAGAAGGTAACAGGAAAGATGTAACCTATGAAACTATTACATCAAATATCCATCCATGTTTGGTGATTTCATTAGTTTTTCATTTAGTCACCTTTCACGGTGTTATCTAGATCAGATCGCGGAAACCATGGCCCAATGCCCACGGTGTGGGGAGCGATGTCTCACCCCGCTAGCCATATCGGCTCTGCTTCTGCACTCGGTACGTCCTGGACCTCACTTCAAAGCTCTCCCTAGTTTCCGCTGCGTCTGAGTTACACTCCGGTACTTACGGACCTACAGGGAAGACAGGCGCTGGGACATGACGCAACTCGACGGCCCCGCGGTCGTGATATTCATCGTCACGTTGCTGCGGCGAGGGGCGTCATGACGGCCTGGATGGTGAGTCAGCGTGAACCCGAAGCGGGTAAGTCTGATCTCTCCGAAAACATTGCGTGTCTGATACGTCTTGTGCGACAGAAGCATCTTAGGCACACGTCCAAGACGTAGTCAGAAAACCCGCGATCCGTGGGGCCACGGGCACCCGCGAGCTGTTCTGGGGCGCCGCGAGCACATAGGCTGTGGGAGGAGTCATTCGATTCACGACGCGTTGGTCGGGATAATTGTTGCAATGACATCTATGAACGGTACGTCCCGTAAAGCTACCTGCAACACGCCGCTGATTAACCAGCTGCCTGTCAGACGTCTCCACCGCCGTTTTACGGACTACTACAGTCGCGGGCGCAGTGGAGCTTTTCAGAGGCCGTGTATTCGCATGCGCGCGCCGCAATACTGACGTTCTGTGGTGCAGGTCTACCCCGCTTGCCGGCACTCTCGATCTGACGCTGATGGCGACTTCTTCCAGCTCTACCGACATGGCTCCTGTCTTACGTAGACGAGTCCGCTTGCAGCGCGTCGCAATTTCGCGTTCCGCCGCAGGTCTACTCGAACCGTCTCTCGGAGGTCGTCTCCGGAAATGCGATCAAGAAGCTCAACCTTCCCCGAGAGGAGCTCGTTATCTTGACCAAGGCGAGCCTATCGATAATGGTGACTGTGCCCATCATCTGACGGGGAGCGTCCTCCGTGATACTGACAGGTATGCTGCCCGGTGGGGCTGACTACAGTGAGATGAACACGGTCTTCAACCCCGCGAAGGCGGAGAGCGTCATCAACCAGAAGGGCTGAACGGCAAGCATATCACCGATTCCGTAAAAGCGAGCTCAAGCGTCTGCAGCCCGAGTATATCGACGTCCTGCAGTGCCACCGGCTTCGAATACGACGCCGATTGCGGAGGCGGTAAGCGCCGATGGTTCGATGGTTGATGAAGGCTCGACGGCGCGCACGACACTGATCATTCGATGCGAGTTTCGTAGATGCAACCTCGGCATGACGTCGTGAAGGCGGGATATGTTTGCTACGAGATCCTGCTCTGCCTACCAATGTACGTCTTCAAGCCTTACGCAACCCGCCCAACAACCCCTCACATCTGTTCTTCGTTCCAGTCATCCAGATGCAGAGTACGCCGCTCGACCTCCACGCGCGATCGCAAACGAAGCTGCAGAATTGACGCTTCCACAGACTACGCGATCACGCACAACCTGACGCCCTTCATCTCGATGCAGAACCACTGCTCGCTCATGTACCGCGAGGAGGAGCGCGAGATGTTCCCGACGCTGAAGATTTTCGGAGTTGACTCGATTCCGTAATCGCCCCTCGCGCGCGGGCTCCTCAGCCGGCCGGACGCTGCGTCGTCCAAGCGCGGCGACACCAACCCGTACGTGCACCCCCGCACCCTTCGACGGCTGCAATTGCCACTGTTCCTCACACTCTCACGAACAGGATCCTGGCCAGGTACAAGACCGAGGCTAACCTGCAGGTCGTCGACCGGTGCGTAACTGGCTGCACTTCCGGGCGACCATGTCTCCTCTGACCATCGCCTCGCTGCGTCATAGCGTGGAAGAGCTCGCGAAGAGGAAGGGCGTGAAGATGGCGCAAGTCGCGCTCGCGTGGATCTTTGCGAAGCCCGGTGTGTCCGCGCCCATCATCGGCACGACGAACCTTTCGAACCTCGAGGAGCTTCTCGGTGAGCGGGCTCGCGGGCACTCGCCGCACGCATAGTGACAGAGCTGATGAGGGGTCGTAGGCGCGCTGGACATCAAGCTGTCCGAGGAGGAGGTCAAGTATCTGGAGGAGCCGTACAAGCCAATGGTCGTCGTTGGGGCTCTTTGAATGTGTGTGTTAGCGCAGAAACATCTTCATACGAGGCATTTTGTCAAAGTGTGTGCTGTGTTGTATTGCTGGACGCCACTCTGTATTGTACGTTAAAATCTGAAAGGCCCTTACAGGAAGTAAGAACGATTTGCGAAGTGGTATACATATTCCACGCTTCATGGTGTCGCCGTGAGGCGCCTGCGTTCTGTATCCACAGGCGGTTGCTCCATTTCACCCCATGCGCCTTCATCGCACGACGCGCGTGGCATGCCCGGCCTTTGAAGCAAGCCGTGTGGCATGCATGCATGGCCGCAACCCTCGCAACGCTTTCGCGACGTAAGCTGTGCGTGTACCCGATACTTATGTTGAGAATAGATTAGGTCAGGTGAACAGAACAGGCAAACCCACGCAAAGACAATACACGCGCCGTCGACTGCAAGTCGGCACGCGAAGCCTCAGCAGGTAGGGGTGCGAGGTCTGCCAGTGTGCTATCCTCGCATACGCTCGAGCTCGCGTATACCACACGATACCGCTGTTCCAGGTTTCAGCACGTCAGGACGGGCCGATGGAACGAGATCGTGCGCACCCTATTATGGTGTCGACTTTTTGGTACGGCTCCAAGGGACTCGGGATGCCGTCCGGACTTGTCTGAGGTGCGCGGTGAGATCGGCGCATAAATCGACCGGAGGGACCAAGCTGCTGTCCTCCGAGTTGTGGCCAATGGGGAGCATCAGCATCTAGTCGTCGAGTGTCTGCGAGTTGCGAGCTTCGGACCATTTAGAGGACATGGACGTGACATCGACGTCGCCCGCTAATGGCCATCCCGGGCTCCATCTCGCGGGGCACGATGCACGAATTAGTAGGTGCCGCATTTGTCTGCTATGGAAGGCTTAGCGTGAGAGCTTCGACGAGACGCATGCCGTGGTGCTCTCGATGGATGCCGACACGCTGATCGCGAAGGGCACGGCATGTGTCTCGTCGGAGCTCTCGCACCAGACGCTTACCCGCATGTGTATCATTTTGTCGAACCGGTAGCAGCAGTCGTCGTACGGGAACGGATGGTCAGGGCTCGCGGCCTCGCAAACGGCGCGGTGGGGTGTCCTGGGAGCGATGAGAATACAGAGGTCTGGGGCGTACCCTTTCACCACGTTCTAGAGCAGGAGGCGGGGCCCGATGGGTCTGAGTGCGCGCAAGCGGTATCAGAAATTTACGGGAACGGTAGATCTTCATCCTGCTGACGGCTTGGGTAGCCAGTACTGTGGAAGGATTGTTGGTCTAGCGATACGCACATTTTTGAGCCAATATGAGGTATGTTTTCTCTGCACTGAATCGAACTGGCTGAGCGAAAGGAAGTCAATTCGGCGTCTTGCAGGGGGCGGACGATCATTGCACAGACAACAGCTGCAGCCAGGGGTTCCCGCGCCCCAGCGGGCCGTCCGTATGCCGCGTACTCTGCGGCGCCGAAGTTCTCGCGTGCGCACCGGTGCAGCTGCCGGAAGCAGGCGACGGTGTCCCAGAAGTCGATGTCCCATGAGGCGCGCGGTCGCGACAGAGAGCGCGTCGGGACGCAGGGTGGTGTGGCAGCTCTCGAAGGGGACTTACGTGTACAGGATGTCGAGCGCGTCGATGTCGGCGCGTCTGCGACCCTGCTAGGTCTGCTTGTGCTCTTTTTACGGCTGTCCCCGGGGTCGTGTGGGCCAGGCAATGGAACGCAGAGCCTGTGTATTGGATGATACGTCGGAGGGCTCGCAGTGCTGTCACGTCTATACGCATTAGTCAACTGGGAAGGATCATGAGTTCGTCTATGTGCTTGGGCGGTGAGCTACGGCATAAATACTATAATAGACATCGAACGTACAGGCTGGTGAGAGAGACATCTAGCTGCTTAAACTGCCTATGCGCGTGTTGGTGGATGACGAGGGTAGAGTGAAAGAAGAGAGACGCCCGAGCTCGGTGTTCTCGGCTTCCGGCTACCGGTCCGGGGTTGCCAGCGGTGTACGTACGAGCGCCTCTTCTCCGTCCTCTCCCTCTTGCCATGTCGTCATCTTTTCAGTCGAGCTTCTGCTCTCTGCCCCTTGCATTCCTGGTTAAACAGCATCCCGGTGAGTATATTCTCATGCGCCTAAAACACACAACTATCGCCATAGCCTGTCGTGTTTACCCAGTGATTTTTCCACCGTCTTGTCTCAGCTGGGATACACTCAGCACACAGCTCGCTCCTCGGGAAGGTACCTAGCCTTCATCAATCTGGAAACAGCTCTCTGTGGGCGCTGTTAATACCTATGTGGAACCTCGTGGCTTCCATATTTGCAGCCCGGCTTGTCTGGAATCTCTTCAAGTCGATGGGCGCTGCGTCTACGCGGCTCATCCAGCTCCTCTCGACAGATCATCCTTTAGCTGCAACTCTATTGTGCCGCTCCTACCCTATCGGTTTCCTTCGTCGAAAGTGATATGGTGTCTAGCACATCGCGTAGTACACTCACGAGCCCTCACAGGTAAGTGTCAATCAGGGAGGCGCCGTACACGCTGCAGGATCTTGCTGACCCATCTATGTACACTGTGCAAGCACGAACTTCGCGAGCAAAGCGTACGCCGCTGCCCCTCATCTAGGAATGCTCGCACATGGGGTAGACAGATGGGAGCTTGCGCGAGGACATCTGTCACGGTGAGTGTCTGCCGCTCGCCGCTCTACGAATGTACGCCTCCCCTTCACTACGCATGCCGTTACGGGAGGCCACGCCGCACATAGCGTCATTCACTACGCCCCCTAGAGGGATATCGTTCACAGCGCGAATGGGGACGCTGCTCATCCTACTCTATATCCTCCGACCGCATGCTCGGCCCTATGCTCAGAGTGCGCGCGGACGGCGCGACCATGGCTTTTTATAATTGGCGACGTGGAGGCCTCCTGCACGCATTCGAGGCGCATCTCCACGTTCCGTGGTAGCACGGCGCGTCGCACACATCTGGATACCGTCCTGGCCGTCGTTGAAGTGGACAATGGATGGAAGGTACGCGGTTCGTCGTCGTCTTCGCCATTCACGTAAGTCTCACGTCTCTACGCTAGCCCCGACAGCGCGGATAGGGACTTATTCTACACTAACAAGCGTAAGATCTCCTGATACCTAGCTCGAAGACGGCCCATTATGGCAACAGAGGACTTTCTCTGTGGGCATGTTTGAATGCTTGTCCACGGAGGCCACGAAAGCTTGGGCATTTCACGCATCATGGCGCAGCTCCCAATGTGTTCTTCCAACCCTGTACCAATCCCCCGCGTCCGCATCCATTCGGTGGACGCAAGAAGAGACACGGTATCGCATAGTAGGTCGTGTCCCCCTCTTCGCCGTAATCGCGATTCACTAACTGCGATCACTATAGGACGACCTCAGCGCCAGACCTCGGTACGTGCGCCCCTTGCGACGAAGCGACGCTCGGGCATCGATTGCGGGGACGGCGTATGTGCAACCAGTCCCGTCCCCGTTTGTACACCGACAGGGCTCCTGACCGGGTGATATAGACTTGATTTGGTGGCTTGCGTACGCGTTGTTGTCTTCAAGTTGCGATGCAGGCCGACCTTACGGTGGAGACTTCCTGCAGCTCGAACGACACGGCTCTTCACGCCGACGAAGTGGCTTCTTTGCTGGTTGCTCCGGCTCTGCTGTGATTGTGACTCACGGACCTGGCGTCAGGATATCGCATTGCCGTCCCCGTTGCGCGGCTCAGACGACGAAGGTGTGCGATCCGGCAGCGAGCAGCAGCGCGGCGGGGACAGTGCGTCTTGCGTGTACTATGTACAGGAGTTTCCCGAGTTACAGTCCCGCAACGCGACGCCCTCTCTGCTGCCCCTGCTCTCTGCGACCAGCTCTGTCCGCCCGGTCAATGATACAACAAGAAATGTAGAGAGCGGGTAGCGACATCGGTGACACGGGGTACTCAAAAACTACCACAAGGATCATCGACGAGAAGGGCCGCTATCGTAAATCCTCAAGAGAGTGTGGAGTGTATACGACGAGGATGTGCAAGAGAAGACGGGGGAATATAGATCATGAGTGGAACTCCGAGAATGTGTGGAGACGTACATAGTGAGAAAGCGGGATGACGATCGGGACCCAAAAATACAATGAGACACATATCGAGATGCGGTGAGACGAGAGAAGGGAGGAGGAAGCATGGGACGCGGATGGTGCATGACGACGTGTAGGGATCAGAGGAGCGGAGAGAGCGGATGTGTGCGCAACGCTGGTGGTTGCTCGTGGAATGGAGATGGGATAGTTGTCGAAGGCGGAAAACGAGTTGTGTGAGCGGCGTCGAAAGCCCGTGAAGGCGAATATTTCTGGGGAGCTGTGGGGAATGTCGAATGCGCGTGAGGGGCGGGGAGATGGTGCCCCCGAGTAAGCAAGACAAGATATCCGCGAGTTGTATTGGACCGCTTCATGAATCATGTAGAGACTCGAGCGATGACGTCGATGTGGTCTTGGACAGGGTAGACAGCGAGAAGAGACAGTCTCAAGATGGTGGATGATTCCGAAGGAAACGATTTGAGCGAATCGAAGGATGTCGATGAAATGCGATTGGGTGTGTTCGAGTGCTTCGTCGGAGCGAGTTCGCGCGAACAGGAGGGACAATTCGGAAGAGGACCCCGGTATTGCCAGAGCGCGAATGATACAGTGTGACCGCAGCCTTGTCGGCTTCGACGTGACGTAGAGCGCACGGACGAGGGCACTGACCGAGAAGAGATATCCGAGCAGCAAAGAAAGACTGAGAAGACGGTGTGTGGAGCATGGATGTAGCGTGGAGGATCCACGGGATCTGCAATGGAATGTGTCAGCGGGCGGGTCTACCTCCTAAGTGCTTGAGTCCACATACGAGTGCGGGAGCCGCTTGAGGACAAAGGCCTAGGAGGCAGCCGTCTCCGGAGGATAAGCGTGAGGCACTTGCAAACCGTCACTTGAATCGGCGAGTGCACCGGAAAGACTGTCCTCGACAGCACTGTTTGGCGAGACCGCAAGGCTCAAAGATGCCGCCGCCTCCCTTTCAGAGGGGTCGGCAGATGATTCACCAAGTTTTGTCCTAGATGGATGATGAAGCCGTTAAGAAGCTTGCCTTTACACAGAGGCATGTATGAGTACATACGCAATGTCCGGCTCGCCTTTGATGCGAATGATTTTGGCTTTCAGGTCGCGGGAGACGTGTTGTATATCCCTCCCCCAAAAGTTGTTGTCATAGTCATATGGTGTGGCGAGTGTGTCGGTCATGCGCAAAATGTCAATGCGGAGGTCGTCAGATATGCATTGCAGTACACCGTCAGAGACGTCCTCAGCGAGTCCGGACATGAAGTGCCAGAGAACCGCTGCATCGACTGTGGTCGGAACGGATTGGGTTCTGTCTGGAGCAAAGACATTGAGCAGAACGCGAGTCAGCTCTGCCAGAACGTCCCCTGTGTAGGCGCGAACGGTCTCCAGGACGTTGTCGGGGAGGGATGATGTCAAGGCGCGATTGGCGCACTCCAGGAAGTGGTTGACACTTTTCAGATACCTCGTATGAGCGTTCTTCGTGTCTTCCGAGGGCGCCTCCGCGATGTGCAACTGCTTGAGGCGAACCTGGCGATATGCCCCGGTAACGGCTTGTCAGGAGATTGGATCAGCATGTGCAAAGCTCTAGGAGGAAAAACGATCTCACCTGGCAGCAAGACGTTCGTCAGGGGTTTCTCGCGTACCATAGCGTTGCGAATTAGATATCCTTTCTCGCTTTCAAGCTGTTCTTGCCCAATGAACTTCAGCATAGAGAAAGGACCCTCGGTCTCGAGGTGGTCGGAAATAGCATTGCAAGTCGACGCTGCCCATTCTGCGTCGGCCGCCTGCAGACTGGACGACCACGATCCACATCTGAAGTAGACACCTATGGCAGCCGCTTCGTCCCCCGAGAGACATGATGGATCCCACCGAAGTATGCACAAGATGATATGAAGCCATAGCAGCTGCTGTTGATTGCCGTTCCCGAGAGGACCGTATTCCGAGTCCGCCGCAGGGCCGAAGTGCTCTCGGGCCGATTTGTGCAGCTGTTGGAAGTAGTCGACGACGTTATCAGGACCGAAGTCCATGAGACACACGGAGGCGGCAGAGAGGGCGTCCGGGGATAGAGTGGTGCTGTATGCCTCTAGTAGTGTCTGTTTGTCCAGGCCACCTTCGAGCTTGTCGATTGCCGACCGCTCGCGCCCCCGCCACGTCTGCTTGGGCTCTTTCCAAGCCTCTGGTGGGAAGGATATAGACCTCAGTTGTCGACTCGTGTCCTGCACCCGGCGCCACAGAGATCTCCAGTGATCTAGTGAGATGTATACGCGAATACGCTGACAGAAGGTGGATAGTTTTTGTTGTGTGGATCTGAGGATCGCGGTCACACCGCAGCGCTTGCGCAACATTAAATCACAGACCCAGTATGCGTGTCGCTTTGGCTGCCAGGCGGCGTTGACTGCGCGGATTTGGGGGGTGAGATAGGAGCACTTGTGGTTGACGAGAGGGAGAAGTGTGGTAACCACGGTGAAGACGGCAAGAAGGCCAACGAGAGTGGATGCGATGGCCGCGACGGTCTCGTGGAGCGTCCAGAGGAGGATGAGCATTCCGGCGAGGAAGAGTGCTAGAGCGAGCTGAAGGAGAATGGGGATGGCACCGATGATGTCCTCGACGCGCCACGTCCGAATATTGTTCAGGCGATATTGGCGCACACGAGCAACAGGACGGGAGGTCCCAGAGACACCGCTGCTATATTCGTTGAGCCACTGCTTGACCATGATGCCCACAGACGCGGAGGACAGGCTGAGGATGAGGCCGGAGAACCACAGCGCATTAAGCCACACGGCCCAGCGCGGGACAGGAGGAGCGGTGCTCGCGTTTGCGCGGGTTGTACTCGAAGGCTGCGTCGAGTTCACGAATGGAGGGTGGATTGAGTAGCTCGCGAGCTGCGAGGAGATCTGCTGCAGCACAGCGATGGAGGGATCAGGGGCAGCGGGCTGGAGGAGAAGGTACGATTGCACGTTGAACGTGGTGAGGACGGCCGAAAAGAGACCCGCCTAGGAGTGCTCCTTGCTTAACAATGTTGATTCATGTGAGGCGATGTTATGACGACGTACGAATACGAGGTAGGTGTCGATTTCCTCCTTCCATCGCTTTATCATCTCGTCGCTGTATGTCTGAACCATCTCCGTAGCATTCGACCACGCCTTTGTCTTTTCCTCTTGTGTGTATACTTCGTGTCTCTTCCAAACCACATCCTAGATGACTGTTATGGGAGTGCAAATGAACAGTGTGGAGCACGTACACCGAAGGAAACTCCCGGAGGAATCTCTGGGCGGGTGTGTCCCGTACGTTCCACTTCAGGTGCATCTTTCTACAGAGATGCACTGGTCAGATACCGCCAGAGCGAGCAAGAGACAAGGTACTGACGGTCTCGCCTCGTTCTGCTCGTGCGGGGAGCTCTCCTTCGGAAGTCACGGGGTCGTGCGCCGGGGGCGGCTGAGACGGTCCTTCGACTGAGAGCGGGTCCGATCCGTGGTGCTCAGACATTGAGATGCAGTACGTGTGGGGACGAGGAATGCGGTAGGAAATCTATGAGGGATATGCTGAAAGACACACTGGCATATAGGGCCAGACACAGAGCGCTGGAGGTGGCCCTTCTCCTCGTGTCCTCGGCTTCCATGCCGGACGTCAAGTAGGGTTCAGTCCATCCGCAGTTCTCTTGCCGCCCGGTCTACTTGCCTAGCCCGCATACAAATGTAGAAATATATCGGCACGACACCGTCTGCGATGCAACATACAGATATAATCCACTGGAAGGAGAACGTAACCACCCACGTTCCGGTGTGTATTTATCGACGTCCCGGGTTCTCTTCCGTGGCGGAACATCGTTTCCTGGTCACCTCGACACGCCTTGATCAAGCCGCATACGCGTATAATCCCAAAAAAAAACGAAGTGCGCAGTACCCAACGGCGTGTAACACGCAAGCGGAGCTTAGCTTACCGACGAGGTCATCCCGTCCTGAACTTTCGAATACGAGGTAGGTAATATTTAACGGGGGCAAACCATATGCCATATGTCTTATCACATGGCGATTATCCTGCCATACAAACAATGAAAGAATCATAGTAAACGCGCAGTCCACCATGAGGTGGCCGCTTGCATACGGCGTTTTGTGGTGCTGTCAGGCCTGGCTCGCCGACGAGAACGCCTTCGGGAATGGTTGGCCCCTGCACATGTCGAGGCGGTAAAATCCTCACACTGAGCCACTGCCAATAGAGACTCGTACTGCATGCAAAACTCTAGATACGCACGGACGCCGCGGATAAGAGTGGAGATTGGGGGAGCAATCATGTGTGCAGTGTGTACCTGAGAGGGGACACGCTGATGCAGTCGTACGCTAGCTCGAACTTTGGAAGTGCCTGCGCACGCGGCGCGCCGGGCATGCCTAGCAGCATGGTGGTTCTGCACACCTGCGGGAAGGCTCCAGTGAGATACAGCGGATAGCCCGAATGAGCGTAGCCTGTCAGCGGGACGAGTGTGAGTTAGAAAAACCGCAGGCGCGTGATGAGTTTCGTCAAAACGACGGGGTAGGTTGAACACGTACCAGTAGCTCGGTTTCTTGCTTCTAATTGAGAGTCCGGAGACTGATTATTCCAGAGGAAATGATGTACACTCATGTATTGCGCGTAATCAATGCGCGGACCGCCAGACGCTTCGCAATAGGGCTCCTACTCGAAGTCTGGCTCGGCCTTAAGGTCAGGATGTCAGTTATGACTGAAGCTGAAGCAGAGAACGAGAAAGCGGCCCGCGAATGACTGCCACCGAAGTTCCGTACCATCCGAAAAGACGCCGTATATGTGCCGAGCTTCCGGAGAGCGGGGGCGTAGGGTGCGCCGAGGCTCGCATGTCTCAGCGGAGGTCTCAAGGTCCATAGATTGCTCGATTGTTGCGTCATAGGAAAGGGAGACGTACTGCGTCCGCACATTTCAGCGCGATTCCAGCACTCTGCGGCTTTGAAAAACTCACATGTTGTAGAACATTTCCATACAGGCATGGGGTGAAAACATACCACACGGCCCTGTAATGAGACAGAACGAGTGAGTGGGGCAGTCATGGGAAGCGCGGGCGTACCACGCACTGGAGTACGCGGAGGAGAGCGTATCAATGTTGGCCTCTGTTGGATACTGTACACAGTCTTCGTCGCAGAGACCGTCAGACATAACAGCTGCATCTCGTACCTATAGGCCCATCGACAGAGTTCGCGCAAGTTCTCACTGATATCGACGCAGTCGACGCAGAGCGGAATCTGAAAAGAGGGGTGAGAGTGACTCGCAGGAGATGCACCGCCGCGGATACCCACTTGAGCCCCCCGAACACGAGTCATCGTTCAGTATGTTATGATATCGAGTGAAATATAGAGCACTGGATATGTTATACACAACCTGGCGGGTATGGCGAAACACCGGATGTCATCGCGGTCACGACCAAGAAGAGGAGAGCGAGGCCGCCGGGCCGGCCTAACGCGAGTGGAACGATTAAGCTAGCCGTAGTTCGATTGTATCAGCCACTCACGGAGCTCGAGACGATCTTATTGTTCACTTCGTTGTCCGCTGGTGAGGTGTTCTCGGTTTAAGGACTGGTACGATGCGTAGTTCTCTGACAGGGCTTCGCTGACCTGCGGAGGTAATGAACGCGGGCGTTTGTGTGACGGGAACTAGTGCAGAACTCGTTGTCCCGCGTGCGTAGTGAGTCCTGTGAGAGTTCGCCGTGTTTGGGCCTCGCATGGATTTGCTATGCCGTGCGACGTCCATATCGACAGCCACAGATCATGCAGCACCGAGATGCTGTTCCGCGTATGCATGGCGTCCCGGATAATTCAAACATTGAGATGCCAGCCATCAGTCAGGTTACGCCAAGTAAACAATACCAGTACTCACCGTATAAAGTAATCGATCTCTTTCCAGCACTTCCTCGGCGTGGTCGGCAGACCATCTTCTGCTGGTGCAGAACGCGCGCGTCTCGGGGCGTGTAGATCGGGAATATAGCGAGGTCGTCGCTCGTACCGCTTGAGATGTGTGTGGACATGACATTATCGACGCTGAATTTCCCGGCCGATGTCGAAATACGGAGCTTCGCGAAACGTGAGTCGGACTAATCAGTGGGCCATACATTGGTACTAAGTGGATCTCACCTGCTCGAGCCATCGTGCACCCTTGACCAAAATGTCCGCCATCATCGCTGCCGCCGGGCGCCCGGACTCCTACGAACATCCAAATATCTGAGATGCTTGCGGGAGCAGAGTACTTACTCGCTCACCCAGTGCGTGCAAGTCGCACCGCTTGGAAGTCCTGCCGAGCGATAGACGGTGCGATGGTTCAGGCGCTGGAGACGGCTGCAGAGCATTTGACCTGACGGAGGTTGTGTTCGCGTACGTGCACAATTAAAGCATTGGCTGTCTAGAGTTACGATGACGGGGGTAGCGGGTCGATGTCGGCGGATGGGATCCCGGGATGAGAACGAGCACGAGGTGGAGGAGAGGAGCATGGGCGTCCAATAAGAAATCCAGCGAGGGAGAAGGTCGTGTTGAGCGACGAAGAAGGCTACTTCTCGAGGGGCGGTGCGAGGAAAAGAGTGAGATATGTGAAGTAAGTGGATACTCACAGGGTAACGAAGGTGTGACAAGGGGCGTTCTGAGCGACGCGCTCGCATATATGCGCATATTTCTGAGTGATCTTCAGGGTATCTTAGCTTGAGTAAGGCACAAGCAAAGCCAAGAGCTCATAACAATCTTACAGGCAAGTTTAATCGCGCTCTTCAATACGTACGAGCTCACCAGCGGCGTTATCCACGGAGCCAACAGGTATGCTGACTCAGAGCACGCGCAGCAGTGTATACGGAGGAGTGTCTCACTTCTTGGGGAGTGATAAGAGTTCGTACGTGTAGAAACTAGATGGAGCGTTGCCAGTTGGGAGGATAGTCACCACAGACGTAGAATGCGTGATAGCACGAGGAGAAGCTTGAGGCGGGGAGTTGCGATGTCTCCAGTCTTGCACGTGGACGTGAAGCTCTAAGGAGGCCCCGGAGCTAACGACGGGTATGCCTCATGGCGTATCGGATGCAAAGTTAGAGCAGTGGAAGAGGGACGGACTGTGCAGGAAGTGGCAGGAAAATCGTGGTCAGAGTGAGGACGACGGCGCTTGCTGGGCTTGGGACGGGAGAAGCGCGCCCACGTGACCGCGCTTCTCTCGCCGTCCTATGCCCGCCTGCGCGTCATCGTCGCTCTTCGCTCCCGCCACGTTTCCCGCCGCTCGTCCCCGCCGCTACACTGCTCAGTACGCCATCGCATCTGTACTGAGCCTCACCTCGCGCTAGCTAGGCTGGTCCCACTTTCTGGGTTCGTTTCGTTGTTGACTTGCACTACAACGCCGACGACTGGCACGGCATGCCCACCAGCGCTCTTGCTCTTCTCTCGGCGTATACTCCGCCCGCTTCGTGCAGCACACACAATCACGTCCTGCCGATACTCTTAGCAGAATAGACACGACTAGGAACCTATGGCTCCCGCAGGGCGACGGACTCATCCGGTACGTTCTCATTTTGTCCATTCGTCCTCCCCTGCGCATTCTCTCGTGACGTCAGTTTCTTACGGCCTCCTTGGCTGATTCACTGTATACCTGGCCGCTGCTGCTTGTAGCTGGCCTTGTCCTTCCCTATCATCCCACCCCACCTCAATCTTGTGCTGCTGCGAAACTAGCTCTACCTCCACATCATCCTGTAATCACTTGCCCTCGTTGAGCATACAGTCGTACTCGGCCTCTAAAGACTGCTCCCGGGCTCCACATACTCCCGTGCTCTCGCATCAAGCTCTGATTATCTACATGCAGCGTTGGCCCCATGAAGCACGCATTTAAGAAGCACTCGAGTCCCGGAGGTACGCGTCAGTCCATGCGATCGTGATATGTCGATCTTAGGTCTTAGCTTATGCAGGATACCCTGCCGGTTTCGTGAAGGCTCTCAAGCAGGATGTCACCGTGGCTATCGTTTGCTGTCCGATGCAAACCGATCTGGACTCGTCGCGACACCATTTACGCTCCCGTCCACGATTCCACTGCGGCGCCGGCAGGGACGATGGTCGCCCGCCTCTGGCTTTACATCCAACGTGAGTTCGCCCGACGTCTCAACTTCCTGGCGGTCTCAGATGCGCCTCCAGTACCACCTCAAGCATGCATTTGCAAGGCGTTCCGCCCGTATCAAGTGAGCGATGTCTCACTCCGTTAGCCATATCGGCGCTTCTTCTGCACTCGGTACGTCCTGGACGTCACCTGGATCCTCTCCCTAGTTTCCGCCCCGTCTGATTTACGCTGCTGTACATACGGACCTACGGGGAAGACAGGCGCTGCGACACGATACAACTCGACGGCCCGCGGTCGTGATATGCCTCGTCACGTTGCTGCAGCGAGGGCCTCCATGACGGCGCGGAGGGTCCAGCGTAACTTCGAGGCGGGTAAGTCGATCTCTCCGAGAACATTCCGTGTCTTATACGTCTTGTACGACAGAAGGATTCTAGGCACACGTCCGAGACGTAGCCAGAAAACCCGCGATCCGTGGGACCACAGGCACCCGCAAGCTGTTCTGGGGTGTCGCGAGCTCATAGGCTGTGGGAGAAGTCATTCGATTCACGACGCGTTGATCGGGATAATTGTTGCAATGACATCTATGAACGGTAAGTCCCGTAAAGCTACCTGCAACACGCCGCTGATTGACCAGCTGCCTATCAGACGTCTCCGCCGCCGCTTTACGGATTTCGGTGCCGACCCCAAAACGAGATGCCAGACGCGCAGCCCTCGCATGCAAATTGGCGGCGTGCAAGCGGCCTTCCGCTATTCTACGGCGCATGTCCACCTCAGACGTGCTTGCGAAGTGCGGAAAAACCACGCCGAGTGGCACACTGGGTCTGACACTGACGGGGACTTCTTCCAGCTCGAGCGATATGGTTCCTCTCTCGTCGATGAGTCCGCTTGTAGCGCGTCGCAATTTAGCGTTCCGCCCCAGATATATGCGAACCGTCTCACAGAGGTCGTCTGCGTAAATGCGATCAAGAAGCACATTCTCCCTTGCGAGGATTCCTTCATTATAACCAAGGCGAGTCTATCGATGATCATGCCCATGTTCATCGTCTTACGGGGAGCGTCCTGTGGGTGAAAGGTGCATTGTCAGGTGGACCCTGAATGTGGCACGAACACGAGCTTCGACCCCGCGGCCACGGAGAGCGTCATCAACCAGAAGGGGCCGAACCGCAAGCATATCTTCGACTTCGTGAAAGCGAGTTCGACACACCTGCAGCTCGAGTACATCGACGTTCTCCAGTACCATCGCTTCAACTATACCACGCCGATTGCGGAGGCGATACGTGCCGATGGTTAGACGTGGTGACTGCCAGACGGCGCGCTCGACACTGATCACCCGACACAACCTTTGTAGATGCAAGCTCGGCACGACGTCGTGAAGGCGGGATACCTCCGCTACATCGGCATAAGCTCCTGCTAAGCCTACCAATGTACGTCGTCCAGCTTTACGCAGCCCGCCCAACAGCCCCTCACATCCGTTCTTCGTTCCAGTCATCCAGATGCAGAGTACGCCGCTCGAAATCCCCGTGCTGTCGCAAGGAACACTCTAGCCCTAACATTTCCGTGGACTACGCGATCGCGCACAACCTGACGCCACTCGTCTCGATACAGAACGACCACTCACCCATGTACCGCAAGGAGGAGCGCGAGATGTTCCCGACGCTGACGATACATGGGGTCGGCTCTATCCCATGGTCGCCCCTCGCGCGCGGGCTCCTCAGCCGGCCGAACGCTGCGTCGTCCAAGCGCGGTGACGCCGATCCGTACGTGCACCCGCCCTTCCCTCTACGGTCGCAGCACTCTGTTTCCTACCCGCCCACGTCCAGAATGCGCTCGTATTCGACCTGACAAGACGCCACTGTGGCGATCTGTCATCACAACGCTACCGTACCAAGCTCCGATAAACCGCCTGCAGCTTTCAGGATATGAAGCACACATCTTGAAGGAGTTTCGAGTCAAACAGGTATTTCATGATTTAATCTAACCTGGCACGTCGGGCGGAAGGCGTAGCGGGCACGATATACTCTGCAGGTTCTCCCATGGATCTGAAATGGGACTCCCACTCTGCCCGTCGTCGGTTCTCTCACGACGGCCTCACACTGCTCGTATCAGCGGTGTCATTCTGTCGACGCAGAGCTTGGCGCAAGACCTGTACGTCCATATTTCGTTGAAGCCACCCCGACTAGCCTCGCGTCTAACTCGTTTACACTCTCAAGTTGTCACACATCTCCACGTGCGCACATACGCAAGTCCGAGCAAGTCGATATCGCGATCCCTGGCACTACGGGCATCCACGAGTTGTTTAAGCACGCCATAACACTTTGCGCGAGAGATACTCCTCCCTCGGTCTACGACATGTTCGGCATCGTCGTCGTCGTAGTGAAGACCAAGTACGGTACGTCCGGCACGGCGCTATGCGGTATGCCAAACTGACCGGTCTCTTGCCAGACATCTTTTCTAACACTCCAGGATTCGCATTTCCGGCCGCCGAGGATCTCGCCGGACATTCCGTCCTAGCACTATACCACAAATCGGCGAAGATCCTTTGCAATGCAAAGTCGACACTGTTGTGCGTCATGGCCGCACCAGAACTCGAGCTCGCGCGTTCGCAGGCACAAAAGATTCCGAAATTGACTGCATTTCGATCGTGGACAGCGTACCGGTCGTTCAAATCCGCCGATCACGACCCCAAGTACGCGCTGCTCACGCACGCCGCACGTTACACCGGGATTCCGTGTGCGTTATCCTTCACTCAGGCTCGAGTCACACATGCTTACTACGAATACTTATCCAGTCTCTCGCCTGGCGGAAGCTCACGGACGTGTCGCCGCTCGCAGTGCGCATACCCGTGTGGGCGACGGTTTCATAAGCGGCGCACTCCTCAGTTAAGGTCTCCGTCGCAACCTCTGGCGGCCGTACGTCTCGTATGGAGGATCCTTAGTCCTCCATTCTGCGGCCGTCGCGCTCGCCAGCCGCCATATTCCTTGAAACCAGAGCTGTAGCTCCCACGCGCTCGAGCACCGACGAATTGCCGACTGGCTCTCTAGATATGCGGAGCGTGCACCGCGGGCTCACTCAACCCCGTGCGACGCATCTGCGCTCAGGAACGCGAGGGGACTCCTGGGCCCCTTGAAGACGACCACGACGCGTTCTCCAGCGACGAGCATATAGCCAAACTGGCGAAAACGATGTATTCGCTCGTGCCGCGCATAACTGCAGGCGAGATCTCCAGCTCGAGAGTCGCCGCGTTCTCCGCACTGCTCCCTCGCGTTGGCTCTCGCTCGCGGCTCGGTCTTACGATGTCACTGGCGCTGTCTTCAGATCCAAGATCAAGCGTCGAGAGCTCACGCAGCGGTTGAGCGTGGTCGTTTGGAGACGGGTTTGCAGAAAGGCGTAGGGCGTTCGGTGATCGGTCGCATCGCATTTTCTCCGGGTATGTCACAGGCATATAGCAAACATTGTCCTCATTTCATGACATCACGCGTCTGCTCGACACGGCACGTATACCTCGATGAGGATACGCAGCCTTTCATGCTACACCTGCCTGCTCTCAGTCGAAAGCAGGTAGTTCTGGACAGAGATCGAGTCAGCTCATGAATCGGAATGTAAAAGGTGGTGCGGTACGCACGGCAGGTTGAGAGTGAAGGCATTGCGAGTCGCTGGTCAAGCGGAGTGGTACGAGTGCCATGGACGCGATTGCGACGTGCACGTAGAGGCAGGCCTCGCCAGAGCCGAGCCCAGATTTGAGGAGGGTTGTCGAAGGTGGCATGCTGCATGCACTCCTGCGGCGCTTCGAATGTTTCCGTATCTGGTACGTGATTGTGCCCAGGAGCGTGTGGGGGGTAGTCGACGAGGCCGTGCCAGTGCGAGAACGGTGCTGGTACAACGGGGCAACAGGAACAGCGCTGAGCGGTGCCGCTCTGGAGACATTCAGCAGTAACGGGATAAAACGGCGAGGGCTAACACACATGTGGTAGAGCAGTGGCAGACAATGGCCGCTGGCTCGTCAGGTGCGACTGGATCCCTGTGAGCGTATCACCGAGGACGGGCGGGACCGCGTAGTTCTTGGGCAGTAGGAGTGGATGTGAGAATGACGGGGACGCCTTCTATACGCACCCGGGACTTTTGAAAGCTATGTAGCTGCGTATATGCGCGCACAGGCATCATCTAGGAGACGCAGTGTGGGCAGAGGTGTTCAGTCTGAAGTACGCGGTATGCAGGATGTCGGATCATACTCACAGTCTCACTGCTACTTTCAGACCTTCCCGTGTGTATCCCTCCGTGTCTATGGTAGAATCGTCACATAGCGCGCACAGAGGAGGAGATGTAGTCTAGGAGCCTGGGGTTGAAGATCCTCCGAGTCCGAGTTCGCAGTTCGAGTTTGCTAGGCCATGACGCGGTCCAGAGTATCGAATAGACGCAGGTTAAATTTGCTTGTGCGCCACCAGGAGGTTGCTGCTGGATGCATCAGCGGAGAGACAGAGAGACGTGGCAGAGCGGTTCGCGGTAAGAGCAGACGAGGAGGCCAGCGCTTACTGCGCCGGCGCCGCTCAGAGCGGGAGAAGCGCGCCCACGTGACCGCGCTTCTCTCGCCACCCTACGCCCGCCTGTGCGTCATCGCTCGTTGCTCTCACCAAGTCGAACCACTCGTCCCCGCCGCTACATCTCTCAGCTGCGTCCGTTTTGCCTCACTTGAGACTAGCTAGCCACGATCCGGCCTTCTGAGCTCCACCACAGCTCCTCCGCCTACCCTGGCGTCGTTCAAGCGAATATTCGGCATCGTAGCTGGAACAAAGCTGCGTCTCCCGATCCGTGGATGCTTAAAACGAGCGAGAACACACTTTGTCATCTGATTGCGCGTACGCGTCCATAATCTGGCTCGGAACCATGCGTACAACGCTGTATTCAGAATCACACTGGTGGGCGATGCTTCTCGGACGGCGGCGCTACTGGGCAGAACACTCCCGGTACGTCCCCTGCGACCACTCTGATATACCACTGGGTGGACTAACGTAGAATTTACTCTGCCAGACGTATCTCTACCCTCGCAATATACCTTCCACGGTCGCTCTCGGCCTGAGGTCTCCCCCGGCCTATGCGAGATTCACACTCTCTCCCAAAGACCTGGTACGTACCTCGCTATCCTGCTCATCCGTCGTAGACCATGGCTCGTTGATAAATTTTTCGCATCTAGCGGCTGTCAATCCGCCCTGTACGACTGTGCTCAGCACACTGACAAGGAAAAGGACATTGCTTGTGGCAGCTGCATTGCAGATCCGCCCGAACACATGGCACGGTACGCCTATCTCATCTAAGCTCGCTGTTGTATTGCCAACTGAACCGCCAAAGCTCCCGCACAACCGCTTCTATGTAAAGTTAAGCGATGTCTCTGTCCAAAACGGGAGACTCGTACTGGCACTCTCGCGCGCTCGGTTACGCGGACATTCAGTGTGCGATCGCATTCGTCCGACGGCGCAGCTTGATAGGTTGCAGAGTACTTATGACCGCAGACATTACTCTGCGTGCGACAATAATGAGTGAGTCGGCGCATACATTTGGCTCTATCGGGCGAGACTGACTCATTCTCAGGCATTCGTTTTCGCCGTACTCCCTCTGGCAGCAGAGAGCCGGCGCTGTTCCTGGGTCCCTGGGAAGCGCGTAGACTTCTCGAGCTGCGCTACGGCGCCCGCAATTGCGTCTGTCACTCGCGTCCAGTGCGCCGACTTGCTTCATATCCCGCCCGAGACACGGATCCACGTCTAGAGAACGCGTATAGGACGCGTAGTCATGTACAAACGCTGGTATGTCTCACGCCATGCTGTACCTTACCAGCTCGTCTTTCTACATCTCTCTGTATAGCTCAACTCGGACCGCACATCGCTGCCTCCGGCGCTCTGCATACGCTGTCCGAGGAAGCTTGGCAAGTAACCAGTTGTATGTAGAGCGTGTGCCATACGTATATACAGATCGGTTCCGCACGTACCCAATCTCAGGGACGAGCACAGAAGGGTCTCTTGTTGCACCAGAGGCGCGTGGATGAGGTAGAAACTGAGGGGAGTCCGAATCAAGTAATTAGTACAGCAAGAAGTTCGGAAAGCGGGTAGAAACATCAGCGACAGGGCGTACTCGAACTAGCACGGGATCATCGACGAGAGGGCCGCTACAGTACAGCTGTCAAGAAGTGCGGAATGCATACGACGAGGCGGCACAAGTGAGGGCTAGAAAACAACGATCGTGTATGGAACTCCAAGAAGCTACGGAGGCGAACATAGTAAGAAAGCGGGACGATACTGGGAACCCAAGAATAGAACGAAAGGCATATCAAGATGCGAGGAGACGGGAGGATGGAGGGGGAAGTATGGAATGCAGGCGGTGCGCACCGACGCGCAGGGATCAGAAGGACAGAGGGAGCGTATGTGTGTGCATCGCTGGTGGTTGATCATGGAGGGGAGATGGGATCGTTCTTGGGGGCGGAAGAAGAGTTGGGTGTGCGGCATCGGGGGACCGATGATAGAGAATGTGTCCCAGGAGTTGTGGAGAATGTCGAGCGCGTGTGGGGTTCCAGATGATTGCGTCTTCGAGTAAGCAGGTCGAGATATTCACCGGTCGGGCGCGGACCGCATCGGAACCATATGGAGACCCGAGCGACGTCGTCGATGTGGTCATGGACCCGGTGGGAAACGCTGAGGGGAGATGGCTTCAGGATGGTGTACGATTGGGAAGGGAAAGATTTGAGGATTTCAAAGGATGACGATGAAGTGCGATCAGGTGCGTTCGAGTGTTTCGGCGGAGCGTGTTTGTGCGAACAGAAGGGACAGTTCGGAAGAGGACACCGGTATCCACAAATAGCGTATGATGGGGTGCGACCGTAGTCGTATAGGCTTCGCCATGGCGTAGAGCGTACCACATACGAGGGCACCGACGGAGGAGAGAGATCAGAGCAGCAAAAAGGGACCGAGAACACGACGTGGGCGGGTCTACATCCTATGTGCTTGAGTCAGCATACGAGTGCGGGAGCCGCTTGAGGAAGAAGGCCTATGAGGAACCCATCTCCGGGGGAGATGTATGGAGCTCTTGCAAACGGTCCCCTGGATCGGCCACTGCACCGGAAAGACCGTCTGCGACGGCGCTGTTTGGCAGGACTGCAAGGTCCAAAGACGCTGCCGCCTCCCTTCCCGACGTGTCGGTGGGTACTTCACCAAGGTTCGTTCTAGATCGATAATAAAGCCGTTAAGAAGCTTGCCTTTATACAAAGGCATACATAAGTACATACCCGGTGTACGGTTCGCCTTTGATGCGAATGATTTTGGCTTTCAGCTCGCGGGCATCGTCAGGTATATCCTCTCCCCAAAAGTTGTTGTCATAGTCATATGGTGTGGCGAGTGTGTCGGTCATGCGCAAAATGTCAATGCGGAGGTCGTCAGATATGCATTGCAGTACACCGTCAGAGACATTTTTAGCGAGTCTGCTCATGACGAAGTAGAGAGCCCGCGTATCGACTGTGGTCCGAACGAATTGGGTTTTGTCTGCAGCGAAGACTTGGAGCAGAACGTGAGTTAGCTCTGCAAGAACGTCCCCCGTGTAGGCGCGAACGGTCTCCAAGTCGTCGGTGGGGAGGGATGATTTCAAGGCGTGATTGGCGCACACCAGGAAGTCGGCGACACTGCTCAGGTACCTCGTATGAACGTTCTTCGTGTCTTCCGAAGGTGCATCCGCGAGGTGCGACGCCTTGAAGCGAACCTGGCTGTATGCACCGGTGACACCTTGTCAGGATATGGCATCAGTATATGCAGCATTCCGGGAGGAAGGATGATCTCACCTGGCAGCAGGACACTTGTTCGAGGTTCTTCGCGTCTCATAGCGTCCTCAATCAGGTATCTTCTCTCGTTTTCAATCCGTCCTTGGTCAATGAACTTCAGCGCAGAGAAAGGACCCTGGGTCTCGAGGTGGTCGGTAATAGCATTGTAAGTAGAGACGGCCCATTCTGCTTCGGCCGCCTGCATACCGGACGACCACGACCTGCATAGGAAGTAGACATCTAGGGCAGCTGCTTCATCACCTGACAGACGTGAGGGATCCGACAAAAGTGTGCACAAGATGATCTGAAGCCATATCAGCTGCTGTTGATTGCCCTTCCCGAGAGGACCGTCCCATGAGTCCGCCGCAGGGCCAAAGTGCTCTCTGGCTGATTTGTGCAGCTGTTTGAAGTAGTCGACGACGTGTGATTCAAACTCAAAGTCCATGAGACACACGGAGGCGGCAGAGAGGGCGTCCGGGGATAAAGTGATGCTGTACGCCTCAACGAGGATTTGTGTGTCCAGGCCACTTTCGAGCTCGTCGATTGCTGATCGCTCGCGCCCCTGCCACGTTTGCTTGCGCTCTCTCCATGTCTCCGGTCTCTTGACAGCGTTCTCCAGACAAGAAAACATGGCTTGTATACTGGGGATGAAGACCCGCAACAAGAGCCGTGTCAGATAACGATGCAGTCGAGGGTCGAAGGAGGAGATGCTGTGATAGGAGGCGAGCCGAGTGGTATCGAGGAACCCAGAAATTACGCGGCACCATTCCCAGATGGATGAGCATGTCCAGTATAAGACGCGCTTTGGTTGCCAGGCGGCGTTGACTGCGCGGATCTGGGGGGTGAGATAGGAGCACTTGTGGTTGACGAGAGGGAGAAGCGTGGTGACAACCGTGAAGATGGCAAGAAGGCCGACTAGAGTCGATGCGACAGCCGCAACAGTGTCGTGGAGGTTCCAGAGGAGGATGAGCATTCCGGAGAGGAAGAGTGCCAGGGCGAGTTGAAGGAGGATGGGGATGGCACCGATGATGTCCTCGACGCGCCACATTCGAAGGTTGTTTAGGCGATACTGGCGCACCCGCGCAACATGACGGGATCTCCCGGAGACGCCGCTGCTGTACTCGTTGAGCCACTGCTTGACCATGATGCCTACCGACGCGGAGGACAAGCTGAGGATGAGGCCCGAGAACCACAGCGCGTTGAGCCATACGGCCCAGCGCGGGACAGGAGGTGGGTTGTTTGCATTCGCGCGGGTAGCACTTGAAGGCTGAGTCGAATTGACGAAGGGAGGGTGGATGGAGAAGCTCGCGAGCTGCGAGGAGATCTGTTGCAGCACAGCGATGGAGGGGTCGGGCGCGGCAGGCTGGAGGAGGAGGTACGATTGTACGTTGAACGTGGTGAGGACGGCCGAAAAGAGACCCGCCTGGGAGAGTGCTCTTTGCTTAACAATGTTGATTCATGCGAGGCAATTTTACGACGACGTACGAATACGAGGTAGGTGTCAATCTCCTCCTTCCATCGCTTTACCATCTCGTCGCTATATGTCTGAACCATCCCCGCAGCATCCGACCACGCCTTTGTCTTTTCCTCTTGTGTGTATACGTTGAATTTCTTACAATACACATCCTAGACGGTTGTTAGGAGAGTGCAAATAAACAGTATGGAACACGTACACAGAGATCAACTTCAGGAGGCATCTCCGGGCGGGTCTGTCCCGTCTTCTCCACTTCAGGTGCATCTTTCTACAGGGATGCACTCGTAAGACCCTGACAGAGCGAGCACGAGACAAGGTACTGACGGTCTCGCGTCGTTCTGCTCCTGCGGGGAGCTCTCCTTCGGAAGTCACGGAGTCGTGCGCTGGGGGCGGCTGAGACGGTTCTTCGACTGAGGGCGGGTCCGATGCGTGGTGCTCAGACATTGAGATGCAGTACGTGTAGCAGCGAGAGATGTGGGGGGAAAGCTACGAGGGATAGGCGGAAAGACACACTGGCATATAGGACGAGACACTGAGCGCTGGAGGTGGCCCTTGTCCTCGTGTCCTCGGCTTCCATGCCAGACGTCAAGTAGGGTTCAGTCTATCCGTAGCGCTCTTGCCGCCTTGTCTGCCGTTAGCCCGCATGCAAGCACTGTAGTATATTGGCACAACACCAGTGTCTATGATGGAACACATATAACATACAAACATAATCGACGGAAAGGTGAACGTAAGCATTCACGTTCTGTCGTGTATTTCTCAACGTCCCGCGATTTCTTGCATTGAGGAACATCGTTTCCTCATGCCATCCACACGCTTCCTTCAGTCCTCATACGTGCGTAATTCCAACGAGGACGCGAGGCGCGGTACTCACAGGCATGTAACATGGAAGCCGCACTGAGCATACCGACGAGGTCATCCCGTCCTGAACTTTCGAATATGAGACAGGGAGTACTTGATGCGGGCACACTGTTTGACATATGTCTACTCACATGGTGATTAGCCTGTCACACAAACAATGGAGGAAGCATCGTAAAGTACGACGTAAACCCACGGTCCACCACGAGGTGGCCGCATGCATACGGCGCCTTGTGGCGCTGTCACGTTTGGACTCGCTGACGAGAACATTGTCCGACAGCGCTGTGGCCCGCGCGTCTCCGCATTGTGGGAGTCCCTGAGCTGCTGTTGAAGAGACCTGGAGCCTCTACTATATTATGTATGCGCGCGGGCGCCGCGGATGAGGATGGAGTTCGGGAAAACGATCCCGAAGGCACGCGCTTATGCGCTGGGCGTACTACCGCTGGCTCGGCATTTCGTCGTGCGACGCGCTGACTGTGCGTAGCAACGCGGCTGCTCTGCACGCGTTCCCGGAGGGCTCCTGTAAACTACAGCACATTGCCGGGGTCAGTGTGGAGCTGTCAACGGGACGAACTTGCGAACGTAGGCGCGGGATCAGTTTTGTCAGAGCGACGGGGTAGGGTTGAACACGTACCAGTAGTTCCGTTTCTCGCTTCCACTGGAGCCGGGAGACTGTTTGCATCGAGAAGGCTCACCAAACGGGAGGCGCACATGGCTGTTACAGTGAGACCGGTAAGTCACAACAATATTCGAAAGAAAACGATCATTACGCTCACGTATCTTATATACGCGCAATGAATGCGCTGTTCACGAGACGTTCCCCAACGGGGTTCCTGCGAGAGCGTTTGCGCGACATTCAGGTCAAGATGTGAGTCATGACTAAAGATGAAGCAGACAATGAGAGAGCGGTCCGCGAGTGACCGCCACGGATGTTCTGTACCGCTCGAATAGACGTCGCATATGCACCGAGGTTCAAGAGAGCGGAGGGCGCAGCATGTACCGACACTGACGTGGTTCCGCTCCAGAAGCTGAGGTCTCGAGTTCCATAGCGCGCTCGCTGCTTGCACAATAGGAAAGGGAGACGTACTGCGTGCGCCCGTTCCAGCGCGATTCCCGCATCCTGTGGGTTTGAAAAAGTGCGCATGTTGTAGGGAACAACTACATCTACTACCCAGACGATGCCGAACGGGATCTGAAAAAAGGCGTGAGACTGATTCGAAGGGGATCCACCGCTGCGGGTACACACTCGCACCCTCGAGCTGGAGTATACTGTCCGTATGGTAGAACATCACGAAACGTAGCCCGAGAGCGCACTGTATGGGACAGACGCGACCCGAAGGGTATGGCGAAAGACCGCGCGTCGTCGCGGGCGCGACCAAGACATGAAACGCGGGGTCGCCGGGCCAGTCTAACACAAATGGAATGTTATAGCTAGCCGTCGTTCGATTGCAGAAGTTACTCACGGAGCTCGACGCCGTGTCATCGTCCACTTTTTGCCGCTGGTGGGTTCAAGGACCGGTACAATGTGCATCTTTCCGACCGGGTTTCCCCGCGCTAGGCAGGTAACGAGCACGGGGCCTTGTGTTTGACGGGAACTAGTGCCGACCCCATTGTCCCGCTTTCGTGGCGAAGCCGCGGGAGAGTTCACGGTGCTAGGACCTCGCATGGAGTCGTGGCGGTGTGCGACGTCTATCTCGACAGCTGCAGATCATGCAGCACCGAGCCCCTGTTCCACGTATGCGGAGTGTCTTGGATAAAACAAACGTTGAGATACCAGTATTCAGTCCGGGTACGCCGAGTAAGCAACGCCAGCACTCACCACATGATGTTGTCGATTTAGTCGAGGAACCAGCGCGGGCTCGGAAAGCCTCCTCCTGCTGGTAGAGAACGCGGGAGTACCGGGGCGCGTAGATCGGGAGCATGGCGAGATCGTCGCCCGTACCGCTTGAGATGTGCCAGGGAATGGCATTGTCGAGGCTGAATTTTCCTGGCGATGTCGTAATACGGAGCTTTCCACAAGGTGAGTCGGAACTATCACAGTCTGATGGTATGTAACAGTACACTAGCCGTGTACTCGACCAGCATTCGCTTCACTACGGGGTCGGCGAGATCGGCAACGTGTGTCATACGCTGGTGCGGAGTGATCTCACCTGCTCAAGCTGTCGACCATGCACCATATATATAATATCTTTCCTTCGTCTCCGTCGCCGGGAGTCCTAACATCTACAAAAAATTAGATATCCGGAGTACTTGCGTGTAGCGTACAAACTCACTCACCGAGTCGCCGCAAATGACACTGCTTGGCGGTTCTGCCTTGCGATCGACGGTGCAACGGTTGCGGTGCTGGAGACGACTACCGATAATTCGACTTCGACTGCATGGACGTTGTGTTTGCGTACGTATACTATCAAGATATTCACGGTCTAGGGCTGCGATGGGGCGGATAGCGGGTTGCCACCGGCTGACGGAATCTAGGGATGCGAAGAACGGGATCGAGATGACGGAGCAGAGCATGAGCGTCGAATTAGACATCCAGCGATGGAGAAGGTCGTGTTGAGCGAAGAAGAAAGGCTACTCTGCGAGGAGCGGTGCGAGGAAAAGAGTGAGATCTGACGGCAAGCTTTGAATTAGGCGGTAACTCACGAGATGACGAAGGTCGACCAGGGCGTTCTGAGCGACGCGGTCGCATATATGCGCATTTTTCGGAGCGATATTCAAGACATTCAGCTGGATTAGGGCACAAGAAACAGCAAAGGCTGATACCAATACTCACAGGCAAGTTTGATCGCGCCCTTCGATACGTACGAGCTGACCAGGGCGTCATCCACGGTGACAAGAGACATGTCGAGTCAGAGCATGCACAGCAGAGTATACGGAGTGTTTCACTTCTTGTGGAGTGATATGGAGAGAGCGTATGTGTAGACACCAGATGGAGCGTCGCCAGTTTGGAGGACAGTGCACCGACAAAGGATACGTGATAGCACGAGGAGAGGCTTGAGGCGGGAAGTTGCGAGGTCTCCAGTCTTGCACGTGAGCGTGAGGCTCTAAGGAAGCCCCGGAGCTAACAACCAGTATGCATCGCCACTATTATATGGAAAGCTAGAGCAGTGGAAGAGGGATGGACTGTGCAGGAAGGGAAGTGGCAGGAGAGTCGCGGTCAGAGTGATGACGACGGCGCTTACTGGGCCGGTGCGGGAGAAGCGCGCCCACGTGATCGCGCTTCTCTCGCCGACCTATGCCCGCCTGCGTCATCGTCGCTCTTCGCTCCCGCCACGTCTCACGCCGCTTGTCCCCGCCGCTGACTTGCTCAGCAAGCCATCGACACTTTTCTGAGCCTCACCTCGCGCTATCTCTGGTCCGCCTTTCTGGGGTCGCCTCGTTGCTGACTTGCACTACAACTCCGACGACTAGCACGGCATGCCCACCAGTGCTCTTGCTGTTCCCTCTGCGTATACTCCGTCCTCTTCGTACAGCAACACACAACATCACGTCCTGGGAGTACTCTTAGAAGAACAGACGCAAATAGGAACTTAAGGCTCCCGCAGGGCGACAGACTCACCCGGTACGTTCTCATTTTGTCCCTGCTTCCTGCCCTGTGTGTACTCTTGTGACGTCAATTTCTTACGGCCGCCTTCGCTAATTCACCCCTGGCCGCTGCTGCTCGTAGCTGGCCTTGTCTTTCCATCCCGTCTCCACTCTACCTCTATCTTGTGCTGCTGCGAAATATGCTCTACAGCCATATCGTCCTGACCTCGCTGAGCACACATTCGTACTCTGCCTCTGAATACTGCTACCGGGCTCCGTATACTCCCCGCGATCTCCCATCAAGCCCTGATTACCCACATAACGCGTCGACGCCTTAAAGCGCAAATCTAAGTGTGTCTCGAGTCTCGGAGGTATGTGTCAGTCCACGCGAGCGCTATACGTTGATCTTAGGGATGAGCCGATGCCCGATACACTGCGCATTTTGTGAAGGCTCTCAAATGGGATCTCACGGTGGCTAGGGCTGGGTGTCCCATGGAACCCCGATCTGGAGTTCTCGCGACACCATTGGCCCTCCCGTCCACGATTTCACTGCGGCGCCGGCAGGGACGATGGTCGCCCGCCTCTGGCTTTACATCCAACGGGAGTTCGCCCGACGTCTCAACTTCCTGGCCGTCTCAGATGCGCCTCCGGTACCACCTCAAGCATGCATTTGCAAGGCGTTCCACCCGTATCAGGTGAGCGATGTCTCACCCGTTAGCCATATCAGTTCTGCTTCTGCACTCGCTACGTCCTGGATGTCTCTTCAAAGCTCTCCCTAGCTTTCGCTCCGTCTGATTTAGGCTCCGTTAGTTACGGACCTACGGGGAAGACAGGCGCTGCAACACGGCGCAAATCGACGGCCCCCAGTCGTGATATTCATCGTCACGTTGCTGCAACGAGGGCCTCCATGATGGCCTGGAGGGCTCAGCGTAAAATCGAGGCGGGTAAGTCGATCTCTCCGAAAACATCCTGTGGGTGATACGTCTTGTGCGACAGAAGGATCCTAGAAACACGTCCGAGACGTAGCCAACAAAATCGCGATCCGTGGGACCACAGACACTCGCGAGCTGTTCTGGGGCGCCGCGGGCACATTGCTTTGGCGACCCCACTCACTCCATTCACGACGCGTTGGTCAGAATGGTAGTCGTGATAACAACTGCGTACGGTACGTCCCGTGAAGCTACTACAAACTCGCCGTTGATTGTCCGGCTGCTTGTCAGACGTCTCCACCCCTTCATACGGATTACAGTCGCGGCCGCAGTGGAGCTTATCCGAAGCCCTGTCTTCGAATGCGGCCGCCGCGATAGTGACGTTCTGTTGTGCAGGTCTACCCCGCTGGCGGTCACTCTCGATCTGACGCTGATTGCGACGTCTTCCAGCTCTACCGACATGGCTCCTCTTTTATCGGCGACTCCTCCTGTTGCGCATTGCCCTAGCTCTGCACTCGCAGTCCTAGCGATGCCTCTCCCTACAGGTTCGATATACTCGCGATCTCCTCCGGGCCTCTCTCTTGACATACGGACGACTCAGAGTCGTCGATCGAGCTCACTTCCGAGCTGAAGAGGTCACCATCCAGTGGAGCACGAGCGGCGACACATCCGTCGAGGAGCAAGTGTGCCGGCGTGCGCGACCCCAAGTGGCTGATCAACCGCGCGGAGGCATTCATCGATGCAGACGGCTATGTACGTCTCCCCAGCCGTTCCCTCCCATTCGTCGAAGATCGACTGACGCGCTCACAGATGACTATGATGGCGAGCAAGAGCATCACCGAAGACGTGAAACGCTAGTGCTGTACCCGTCAAAACTATACCTCGCAGAGTACCCGGAACTTCCACGTCGTCATCTGGGAAGGTTCATGAGCGATTCTCTGCTCCGCCGTCCCACCCGCGCCGTATTCCCTGTGGAGCGCCCGCTTCTCCCTTATATCCCAAATCCAACCGCTAGGTTGCGGTACAGGGACTCTTTCTGGTTTCTTGCGCTGACGCTCACGTCATCGATACGCCCCTCATCTTCCTGTGCCACCCCGGCGCAGATCATCCTGGACACACACACCAGGACGCGCCCGCATGCTCTTAACACCGCCGAGGTCCCCCATGATGCACGCATGCAGGGCTATCTGCGGCACACCCCTAATGGTTCTTGGTATTCGCGATGGACCCCAACGAGGGTACCCGCACGTCTCGGTTTGGAATAAGACAGTAAAACATGCGAGGAGGTGCGCAGAGCAGCGAGCGTATCGCGAGACACCGTATGATGACTGACTTCACACAGACCCGCTCTCAGGCCTTGCTGCTGGGATCACAGGAGGCGTTTCTCGCGGCACGATGGAGGTGTGAAGTACCAGCTGACGGCTCCTTAGTAGCGTAGTGGTTTTTATCGGGGGGTGTTCGACTCGCGTGCCGTAGAAGTTCTTAGGATACGTTACGCAAAATTCACGACTAATACAGTCCACGGCATCCTCAGACTTGCCAGCCTGAGTCCCCGTGTATCGTTGATCTCGCAAAACCGTCCATCGCAGCTCATACGCCCGGTATGCATGAACAACGGCGTGCATGTATTGATATGATAGTCAATAATAGATCCACGACCGCCTAGAATACACGGTCTGCAGTTTGCTATGATACGGTACTTGACACCTCGATGTCCGTTCGTGTCCTCGATGCAATCTGCTAGAATGGACGGCGTAAATCCAAGCGGAAACAAAGCTCGGGTGGCCCGTGGTGCATAAGAGCCACAAAACAGAGCGGGCAGGCGATCCGCTCAGAGGCCAACTAGTCACTTCCAAATCGCACGTGCGCGCAAGCGTTACAGGTGCTTGACCCGTGGCACATCATCCACGTTCTACCTCGCCGCAGGCGGGCCTATACGCTGATGGGATACGCTGATGGGAGAGGCGTCCAAGTCGTCGTAGGAAAACTGCGCCTTGCCATGATCGACATACACGCTGAAACTCTCCGAGAGGTCTGCGCACGGGCGTAGGTTGAGCATTCGGGGAGACGTGGTGTTGGTGTCTCCTCGAAGGCTGAGGCTGAGAACCAGTCGAGACGAATGCGTCGCTCTTGATGTCTATGTAGGCGTGTTTTGGGATTAAACCCTGCGCTCTGTCGGCGAGAGCGAGGTAAGCCTTTGACTGTGTCCTGTTATCGTCGTGCATGCGGCAGGGAAACGCGTGGGGGAGCTACATACCGCTTTTTGTCGTCGTAATCATGTTCCAATGCGAGAGCAGGGGCTAAGAGACGCAGGCAGGCATCGAAGCTAGCTGGGAACACGAATGTTAGCTCGCAATAGAAACTAGCATACGGAGGATTAGCGACGTACGCGAAGGCACACGCAGAGTGCACGTTGAAAGCCTACATAACCGCGTATATGCACCGTTCTTGAGGCGCCGTCGGCGCGTGTTTGTTGTGGAGTGTGCATCAGAAGTCATATATAACCGTGTGCGGCCTGCCCTTGCGCAGAAACGGGGGAGGGACATACAATGAGACGCTGCGGTCACGGGCCTGTGCTTGCATCGTAGGCCCGGCGAAGGACACTGCTGTGATCCATGTAGCGACGTCAGCGCTGCAATAGGAAAGCTACGACGAACCGCAGTGCAGGTGTGTATTTTCTGGTCCGGTGAGGGAGCCACAGGCGGGTTTTGATAGGAGATGACACTCGATGTGCATCTCCCCAGACTACGCGTGCGAGTGCGTAGGAAAAGATGGGATGATGTGTTGATGGACTCCTTAGACGTTCGCGAGGTGTGGACATTGGGATTGGGAAGAGGTGAGCTGGTGGGATGCGTGCAGAGAATTATCGAGACTACTACACATTCAGCAGGAACAATGCAGACAAGGATGTGTGCACTTACCAACAGATCCAACCCAGAGGTGAGTACACTCGACGTTAGCACTGCAGCCGCGGAGGAATTCACTAGGCTGTGAACGCAGCTCGAGCGTGTCTTGAGACCGGCATGCGGAGTCTCTTAAAACAGACAGAGCATAGCAGGCAAATGCTGGTCAAGCGGGGAGGAGCAGGAGGATCGATTCGCGGCCAGAGCGCAGGCGAACGACGGCGCTTGCGGGGCACAGGCGGGAGAAGCGCGCCCACCTGACCGTGCTTCTCTCGCCGACCTACGCCCACCTGCGCGCGTCATCGTTCGCTCCTCTTCCAGTACGCACCACTCGTCTCTACCGCTACATCTAGCTGAATGTTGCGAGCTGGCTCTCGATCTCTGAGCACGACAAGATCTCCGCCGCTTAACCTGGGGCCGTTCCAGTGGATATTCACTGCAGCTGGAACAAAGCTACCTCTCTCCCTCACCCCGGTATGTAAGTGCTCAATACGAGTCGGAATACATTGCTTTCTCTGACTACGTACCTCTCATGTAAATCAGCACTACGCATACCACTCTGGTTTTGGAAGGACATCAATGGGCGATGACCTCACGCACGGCAGCGCGTATATTGGGAAGCACACCTCACGTACGTCGCCTTCGACGACTCTGATATACCACTCAGTGGACTGACGTGGACGGTACTTCTCCAGACTTATTTCTACCCTCGCCATATAGCTGCCACTGTCGCTCTCAGGTCTCCCTGGGACTACGCCATGAGCTCCAACCCCGCCCCCAAGGACATAGGGTGCCTGTTTACCTCCCGTACGTACCGTAATATCCTGCTCATCCGCCATCGCTTCTGACAGCGATGGGAAAGTCCTCGCACTTACCTGCCCTAGATCCGCCGTGAATGGTGGCACTTCGACGCATTCACAAGCACAAGGCCCTCATCTGAAGCAGCTGCGTCGCAGATCAACTCCAACAACCCCGGTTCTCGTGCCGTCCGTCCATAGCTTCTCACCGCGCTGTGATAGTACCATCTCGGCCGTCAACGCTTCCCCGCATCCGCTGTGAGGTAACAGCCAGCGTCACCCCCGGGCAAGATTGGCACCGCGCAGGAGTAACCAGCATCTCTGTGCTGTCTCGTACGTTGACCCGGAGTTGCACGATCTCATCCATCCGACGGCGTTCTCGCTGGCCGGCAATCGCTACCTGGATCAACGCGAGCGCCGTGTCAGGAATCACAGAGCACTGTCGTCCGCCATTATGTCTCTGCGTCCGACAATTTCAAGTGAGTGGGCGCATACATTCAGCTCTATCGGGCCCGAGAACTAACTAGCTTTTAGGTACATATCCTCGCTTCACTCCCTCGGCGAGCAGATAGCCCGCACTGTTCGTAGGAAGCGCGTAGACCTCGTGAGCTGCGCTACGGCGCCCGAAATCGCGGCCGGCACCCACGCTCAGCACACCGTCGGACGCGTCTCATCTCCTGCGGGAGGCAGTAGCTCACATTTCGAAGATGCACAGAGGACGCGCGATCGTATCCGCAACGCCGGATGTTCTCGCTATCGAGCTAGTAACGAGTCCGCTCCGGCTCTACTGTCTCTTACGATATCGTCTCCGTACATCTCCCCGCGTAGCTCAACTCGGACGCGCACCGCCGCTTCCTACGATCCGCATACACCGTCTGACGAAACTACGCAGGTGACACGGCGTATGTATAACTTGCATCGTATATATATGATAACGAGAGAGCCTGGAATCGCAGCAGGTGGTACAACAAGAAATTCAGAAAGCGGGTAGCAACATCGGTGACACGGCGTACTCGAACTAGCACAGGCATCATCGACGAGAGGGCCGCTACCGTACAGCTGGCAATAAGTGTGGAACGTATACGACAAGGCGGCACAAGTGATGGCTAGAAAACAACGATCGTGTATGGAACTCCAAGAAGCTACGGAGGCGAACATAGTAAGAACGCGCGATGACAATCGGAGCCTCAGAATAGAATGAAAGGCATATCAAGATGCGAGGAGACGGGAAGATGGAGAGGATGCATGGGATTCGGGCGGTGCGCAGGGGCGTGTAGGGAACAGAACTTGGCGGAAAAAGTGGGCGGGTGCGCAACGCTGGTGGCAGATCGTGTAGGGGGAGATAGGGTCGTTCTGGACGGCGGAAAACGAGTCGAGTGAGCGGTGTCGAGGGCCCATGAGGGCGAAAGTTTCGAGGATCTGTGAACAACGTCGCGCGTCGGTGAGAGGCCGGGCGATGGCGTCTTCGAGTACGCAGAACGAGAAATCGACGTGTTGAAGGCGGACCGCATAAACCATATGGAGACCCGAGTGACGACATCGATGTGGTCTTGCACAGGGTGGGAAAAACTGAAGGAAGATGGCTTGAGGACGGTGGATGATTAGGAAGGGGAGGAGTCGAGGGATTCGAAGGATGAGGTGTGATCGGGCCAGTTCGTGTTTCGTCGGAGAGTATTCGGGCAGACAGGAGGGATAGGGACACTGGTCTCGCCAGCGAGCAGACAATATGGTGTGACCCCAGCCGTATACGCTTCTCCGTGACGTAGAGCATACCATGCACGAGGGCGCCGACGGAGGAGAGACATCTGAGTAGCAAAGAAGGACAGAGAAAAGGGCGTGCAGCGTAGATATCATCCGGAGTTTTCATAGGATCTGAAATGGAGATTGTCAGCGTACGGGTCTACCTCCTATGTGCATGAGTTTACGTACAAATGCGGGACCCACTTGAGAACAGATGACTAGGAGGAGGCCTTCTTCGGGGGAGAAGCGTGGGGCTCTTGCAAAGCCTCACCTGTATCGGCGACTGCACTGGACAAACTGTCCCCAACGGCACTGTTTGGCGAGACCGCAAGGCTTGAAGACGCCACTGCCTCCCTTTCCGAGGGGCCGGCAGATGATTTGGCAAGTTGGGTCCTGAATCGATAATGAAACCTTTCAGATGTGTCTTCCTTTAGACAGAGACGTGGATGTGTACATACTCGGTATCCGGCTCGCCTTTGATGCGAATGATTTTGGCTTTCAGATCGCGGGAATAGTATGGCACAAGATTCCCCCGAGCGCTGTCATCATAGTCATATGGTTCGGCGAGTGCATCGGTCATGCGCAAAATGTCGGTACAGAGGTCGTCAGATATGCATTGTAGTACACTGTCAGAGACGTCCCAAGCGAGTCTGCACATGACGTCCCAGAGAGCCCTTGCATTAACTGTGGTCCGAACAAATTGAGCCCTGTCTGCAGCGAAGATTTGGAGCAGAACGTGAGTCAGCTCTGCAAGAACGTCCCCCGTGTAGGTGCGAATGGCATCCAGGTCGTTGGCGGGGAGGGATGATGTCAAGGCGAGATTGGTGCACTCCAGGAAGTGGTCGACACTTCGCAGGTACCTCGTATGAGCGTCCTTCGTGTCGTCCGAAGGCGCCTCCGCAAGGCGCAACTCCTTGAGACGAACCTGGCGGTATGCACCGGTAACACCTTGTCAGGATATGGCATCAGTATATGCAGTGCTCCGGGAGGAAGGATGATCTCACATGACAGCAGGACACTTGTTAGAGGTTTTACGCGGTCCATAGCGCTGTACATTAGGTGTCCTCTTGCCCTTCCAAGCCGTTTTTGGTCAATGAACTTCGGCGCAGAGGAAGGACCCTCGGACTGGAGGTGGTCGGAAATGGCATTGCAAGTCGATACTGCCCATTCGGCGTCAGCCGCCTGCACACTGGAAGACCACGATCCGCTGCTGAAGTAGACGTCTAGGGCATCCGCTTCGTCGCCCGACAGAGCTGATGGATCCGACTGAAGTACACACAAGATGATATGAAGCCATAGCAGCTGCTGTTGATTGCCCTCCCCGAGAGGACCGTGATTCAAGTCCGCCGCAGGGCCGAAGTGCTCTCGGGCCGATTTGTGCAGCTGTTTGAAGTAGTCGATGACTTCGCCAGAGGGGAAGTCCATGAGGCACACGGAGGCGGCAGAGAGGGCGTCTTGGTGCAGATTGGAGCTGTATGCCTCGAGGAGTGTTTGTTTGTCCAGTTCTCGACCGAGGCGGTCAATAACCGACCGTTCTCTCCCCCTCCATGTCCGCTTTCTGTCCCTCCAGACTAATGGCGGTGAGGATACCGTCGCTCCAAAGCGTATAGCTGTGTCTCGTATCGTCCTCCACGCAGAATTCCAATGGGCAAATGAGACAGAGAAGCGGAGGTGTCCGCAGAGGGTATATAGCCCGCGCTGCGCAGTCTGGAATACTTCTGTCATCGTGTGACGGCCCGACGTCATCGAGACGCACATCCAGTATGCGAATCGATTGGGTTGCCAGCAGTTGTAAAGATAGCGGGTAGGCGGAGAGACGTACGCGCAGCGGGGTTTGAAGAGAGGGAGGATAGTGGTGCTTATGGTGAACACTGCGAGGATTGTGATTAGAACTGCCGAAAGTGCGGCGACGCCATGGTGGAGGGTCCACAGCAGAACGAGGAGACCAGCCAGAAATAGAGCGACAGCGCTTTGAAGAAGGACGGGGATGATGTCGATGATGTCCTCTACATGCCACTGAACGAGGTTGTCTAAGCGGTACTTGCGCTTTCGAGTGATGTTGCGAGAAGTCCCAGATAACTCGCTAGTGTTTTCGCTGAGCCACTGTTTCACCAGGATACCGATGGAGGCCGAGCTAAGACTGAGGATCAAGCTCGAGAACCATAATGCATTGAGCCAGACGGCCCAACGCGGGACAGGGGAAGGGATGTTGGTGCTACAGCTGTCCGAGCTCGACGGCTGATTGGTGGAGTTGACAAATGGAGGATGGATCGAGAAGCTTGCAAGCTGGGCCGACATCTGCTGTAATACGGCAAGGGAGGGATCTGGTGCGGCCGGCTGGAGTAGGATATACGACTGAACATTGAATGCAGTGAGGACTGCAGAGAACAGGCCGGCCTGTTACATCATCAGTCCGTGAGTCGTCACTGCTGGTTAGTCGTGTCGCGTGTCACGTACAAATACGAGATAGGTGTCGATTTCCTTGTTCCATCGCTCGACCATTGCATCATTATGGTACAGTGTCATACTCGCCACATTTTCCCAAGCTTTTTCCTGTTCCTCGTATGTGTACACAAAAAGTCGTTGGAAGTGCATGTCCTGGACAGTCGTCAAAAAACGTCAGCCCGGCATAAGAACAACGTACCTGAATATCATAAATATACGGAATATCAGGGCGAGTCTGTCGCATCTGTTCCTTTGTAGTCTCCTCCTTCTATCACAGTGTACTCATCAGATATCGATAGAGAGTGATATAAGAGGCACCCACCGTCTCGCAGCCCTCTGCTCCAGCAGAAGGCTCTCCTCCAGACAGCTCAGGGACATTCGCTGCGGGCCGCTGAGTTGTTTTGTCCGCCAAAAGCGGGTCCGTTTCGTTATGCTCCGACATTGTGAGAGAATAGTATAACGAGGGCTGACGTGTGCGGAGGGAACGCCTGGAGGGTCGGGTTACAAGTGGCATTACTGGTGATTAGAGGTCTATTAGGCCATGCTTAGAGCGCTGGAGGTGTCCTCGGCTTCCATACCAGACGTCAATGTAGGGTTCAGTCAACCACGACGAGTGCAGACGCTCTATTCTTCGGCGTGCCCACGCGCACTGTATGGAACTAGACGATACGTTTTGGTTCTGCGCAGGCTTTATACGTGGCCCAGACTCACACCTACTGACCACCTACCCGTCCATCGGGGCGGATGCGCTTTCCTCTCATAGTGGGCGGCTGTCCCGTCTACGTTCCCCTGGCCTCGCAACAACATTGAACGCGCAGCCCACGGGCCACTCGGCGCTAGGCTGCGCCGCCGTATGGTACGGCCGGCGACACAGATGTTCGCTAAGCAGTTGGAAGGGCGGAGAACAACATGTTGCCAAAATCCACATCACTGTCACCGCGTAACGGAAACAACACCTGCAGGTTTCGCGATAAAGACCCACACTTGTTGTAGCACTGCCTGCATCGCCGATCTCATACAGCCACGATGTCCCCCGCATTGGATATATCCATGCAGATAATGCACAGCACTTAGCATTCCCGGTGCTGGCCGCGAGAACAACCATGATCACCACATGATGTGTGGCAGTCTTTCTCTTCACAGGACTGGTCACTTGTACCAGATGCGGAGTCTATATGGGGACGTTTATAGTGCATGTATCACGTATCATGTACCACGACTCTGTAAGCAGCTAGCGTTCACTTTCTGACGTTTGGCAACAAGTGCTTGTGTTTACAGAATTCGTGATTCTGACTCGCAAGAAGGAGGCATAGGAATACGAGAGTGCTTTGACGTACGAAGAAGCGTCATATGGATTGTCGGCATATAACTCAACAGTATGGCGCACGGACCACACTCTCAGACGCTGCCGCGCCCATTCTGAAATAGATATTATGAGCAGAGTTGTCTAAGTAGCGGTGATACACCAAAACATACGTCGTTCAAGGTTTGTTCTTGACGCGGATGATGTTCTCTTCAAACACCCGCGCAGACGCTTGGATCTGGTTCACCCAGTCGTTGCTGGTGTAGTCGGAGGCCGTTCGAAGTGTCCTCGCCAAGTGTAAAATGTCCGGAACGAGATCGTCAGCGATGCCTTCTTCCAGGCGAGGGTCGTCGAGACGGCGAAGCTTCCGCATGATGTCGTCTAGATGCGTCGACTCTATGGTCGTCTTTACGCTGTCTTCAGCAAACAACTTCAGCATAGTACGAGTCAGCGCAGCGAGGACATCGCGCGTGTAAGCGCGAACCGTCTCCAGTCGTTCGGATGGGAGGGTCGACGCTGAAGCGTGATGGGCGCAATCCAGGAAGTGATCGACGCTCTGCAGAAAGCTCGCGTGAGCGGCGTTCGCGTCGTCCAAGGGCGTCCGTCCCAAATACGAATGCTTCAGGCGAACTTGACGATACAGCCCGGTGACGCCTGTCAGTCAGTTTACCAGATCAGTACACGCAGAGCTCCGCGAGGACGAAAGGCATCACCTGGTAACAAGACGCCTTCCAGCGGCTGCTCGCGACGCATAGCGCTGCGAATCAGCTGGCCTCGCATCCATCGGAGTCGAACCTGATCAATGGACCTCACGTCCCGGCTCCGGGGTCCTTCTCCCTCGAGATGGTCCATCAGGGCATTGCAACTCGACACCGCCCATTCCGCATCGGCGGCCTTCATACTGGACGGCCATGAGCCATATCGGAAATAGACACCCAAGGCGGCGGCCTCATCGTCCGATAGAGGCGAGTCGTCTGCTAGAGGTGTGCATAGGATTATCGTGAGCCACAACGGCCGCTGCTGGTTCCCATATCCGAAGGGACCGTCCTCGGAGTCCGCGGCAGCGCCGAAGTGCTCCCGTGCGGACTTGTGAAGCTTGCGAAAGTAGTCGACGACGTCCCGGTAGTGGAAGTCCATGAGACACACGGTGGCAGCGGAAAGAGCATCGGGGTGTAGGGTAGAGCTGTAGGCCTCGACGAGTATTTCGACGTCCAAACCGCCTGCGTGCCTGTCGATGTCCGACCGCTCCCGTCCCCGCCAGGTCTGCTTGTGCGCCTTCCAAGTCTCCGGCCTCTGGATGCCGCATTCTAGACGAGCAAAAGCAGACCCCACACCTTGAATAGCGCTTTTGAGGGCTCGGGGGAGCCACACGCAGCGGTGAGGGACGCGTGATTCCAAGGAGGGAAGAATGGTAGATCCGAGCGTACGGAGAGCGGCGGCAGTAGTGCGACATGATGTGGATAAAAATGTGCATACCCGGTACATGAATCGCCGCGGTTGCCACACAGAGTCGAGTGCGCGTACTTGCGGAGTGAGATACGAACACTTGGGGTTGACTAGGGGTAGAAGGGTGGCAACAGCGGTGAAGACCGCAAGGAGTCCCACGAGGGCCGACGCGACGGCAGCAACAGTGCTATGCAGATTCCAGAGGAGAATGAGGATTCCGGCGAGGAAAAGGGCGAGGGCGACCTGGAGCAGGATAGGAATGGTTCCGACTATGTCCTCGACGCGCCAGGTTCGGAGGTTGTTCAAACGATACTGGCGCACACGAGCAGCAGGACGGGACGACCCAGAAACGCCGCTGCTATACTCATTCAACCATTGCTTGACCATGATGCCTACGGAGGCGGACGTCAGGCTGAGGATAAGGCCGGAGAACCACAAGGCATTGAGCCAGACGACCCATCGTGGCACAACGGGTGGGGTATTCGAACCGGAGCTGCCGCTACCGGACGTTTGAATGGTGTTGGCGAGTGGAGACTTGATCGACAAACTCGCGAGTTGTGAAGCGATCTGCTGCAAGACGACAATCGAGGGATCGGGCACAGCTGGTTGAAGTAGGAGGTACGACTGCACGTTGAATGTGGTGAGGACGGCCGAGAATAGTCCCGCCTTCGAGTGGTGCATGGCTTGGTCAACCGTGTGCTCGTTAGTCACCGAGTTGCTCGAACACGTACGAAGACGAGGTATGTGTCTATCTCCTCCTTCCAACGCTTTATCATCTCTTCGCTATATGTTTCCACCATTCGTGAGGCACCGGTCCATGCTTCTGTCTTCTCCGCCTGGGTGTATACTTCGTCTCGCTTGTCGTCCACATCCTACAAGTTCATCGGTGAGACAGGGACCGCTGTATAGGATGAGACATACCCAGAGGGATGCTTTGGCCGGAATATCAGGAGAGTTCGATGTCGTGCATTCCTTTACCGGCTGGTCATCCTGTAGAAGAAACTTCTGAGACGGGTGTAAGGAGGTGTGGGGGCATGCTCACGGGTGTGGGACGCTCCACGCCGGCGAGGGGCACTCCTCTGGATGATCCCGAGTTGCTCGGTACGGGCGGATGAGTCAACTTACCGGACGAGGGAAAATCCGGTGTACGAGGCTGGGACATGGAGAGGCGGGTGTATAGGTCAGAGATGTGCGAGGCAAGATTCGTTCGATCGAGTTCCGGGAGAGAGAGAGAGAGAGAGCGTAGTTCGCGAAGGGTAGAAATCTTGAAAGCCTAGACGACGAGGCGAGCACAGCGTGCATGGCACTGCGAATGGCCCTTCTCAGGTTCTATGACAGACGTTGTGTTAGAGTTTGTCCCAAACAGATCCTGCTACCTTATTGAGCGCAGAAGACGCTCTCCCAATCATGACTATGACAGGCCGCCGTGAACGGAGGCGGTGCGTCCGCATCGATGCGTTCCCTGCGCTGACGTCGAATCCGTAGCGCGGCGGAACGTATCTTGTTGCGACGCGTGCGCGGTAGTACTGCGCAGATTCTGCTCGTCGGCGCGAAGATGTGCTTTATAAGGGGAGGTTTTGGCATGACCGTGGAGGTGAATTGCATGTGGAGGACAAGTCTGCCGTTCGAGGCAAATCCGTTGTGTGTCCAATAAGCTCCTCGGAAGCCTGAGCTATGCCTCCTGGGACTTAGAACAATATTTCTGATAGACTGCTGGTCAGTTGGGGGCGCGCTACGTCGCTGCGCCGACAGGGGTACCGGAGATGGCTCTCGATCCGACGAATATGCTGGCCGATATGTCGTGCATCGGAATAGCGAGGCAGCACGTAGAGGGATCGCGGGTACATTTAGTTGTACAGATCGCGAGGTTGACGTGTTAGGATTCTCGTCTATGCACAAGCGTAGGTAATCCACAGCCCAAGAGCTGTCTAGTGTGTGAGACGAGTCAGAGGGAGGGTCGCGTAAGATGACTTTGAAGTCACGAACCTAGTGACTGCATCGTCCTGCCCCGAGCACTGAAGTATGCAGCGTAGGCTCGAGCAGTGTAAGCCGGCGGTGGCAGTCACTTCACCATCAGGAGGTGTCCATCACGACGCGGGTCTGCATATGCCCCGAGAATCAATACACAGGCATACAGAAAACCAGGCGAGACTGAGGCTGAAGACAGCCTCCATGGGATGGAGAGGACTCACCACAAGTAGAAAAGATAAAGCTAATGCTACGAGCGAGTTGAGGCACTTATGTTACTTATCTTCACAGGCAGATAGTGCAACGTCGTGTGCACGTTTTACGAGGTGTCGCCAGAGGTCGCAATGGAGGCTCGAAAAACTACAAGGCTTCGTACATGTTTCTTGCATTCGATTAAAAAAACCTGAGACTAGCTTATACCGCCATTGGACCTTTTTGGAAGCGAAATGAGCATATCATGTTAGCAGAGCCCTCAGCCGATGTATTGCACACATTTGGACGGTAACATACCTAGGCAACTCCATATTATTTCAAGTATTCTTCATGACGTGGGCTTGGTTCTGGAGAGCTACTGATTGAACCAGCAGAATGGAGAGCGCGGGAAGCGGAAGGAGAGACTCATAGGTTGGAACAGAGTGCGCACAAGATGTGGTCGGGTATAGAGACAAGACGAATGGGGAGAGAAGATCGGCAGGATGATGCTTTGGCCCTTCTAGCTAGAGCTGATTGCATGCAGCTTTGACACCTTCCGCTAAGACATAGACCAAGGATGTATGGAGACGCGAGCAAGCGCACGGTGTGAGCGATACTGTCGCGGCGTAAGTGAGGCAGAAAAGAAACGCTCGTACGCGATTCCACACGGACCGGACCGGAAAGCCCAAAGCCGGGAAAGGCCGCAACTGGCGCTTCGCGACAGCGCCCAGCCCGCTCCTCTCTCTGCCTCACCCTCTCGGAGTCTTAGCTTGCCCCGCACACCCCAGGCTTGGATCCCGAGTGTTTCCTCTTCATGTCTACTGGCGAACTAGGTCAGCTGTCCCCTGCTAGCTCTACCAACCCCGCGCTGTCTCCGGTAAAGATGAAGAATCCCCTTCGGAAGAATGGGAAGGAGGACGTACATGCGGCTTATGCACGTCCTGAAATTCCGGAAACCGTGTCTATATGGGTGTGTTATTGGTTTCCAGTAATAAATTCAGTCTAATTGCCGTCTAGGATGTGTGTTCCAAGAGATATAACGTGTACACGGAAGAGCAAAAGACGAAGGCATGGTCGGATGCGGCGGGGATGGTCCAGAGCTACAGCGACGACATGATCGCCCGATGGAACAAGGAGATAGATACCTATCTCGTCTTCGTATGTATTTCACTGGTCTACGGATATTTCATTAAGTGGTTCATCATCTTCCAGGCGGGCTTATTCTCCGCCATCCTTACCGCTTTCAACGTACAGTCGTACCTTCTCCTCCAGCCCTCAGCGCCCGATCCATCCATCGCTGTTCTACAACAAATCTCTTCGCAGCTCGCTAGCTTCTCAATCAATCCCCCGTTCGTCAATTCCACTCAACCGTCCAACTCCAGCCCCGCGAACGCCAACACCCCGCCCCCTGTCCCGCGTTGGGCCGTCTGGCTCAACGCGCTGTGGTTCTCTGGACTCATACTCAGCCTGACCTCCGCCTCCGTGGGCATCATGGTCAAGCAATGGCTGAATGAGTACAGCAGCAGTGTTTCCGGGACCTCCCGTCCTATCGCCCGGGTGCGCCAGTATCGCTTGCATAACCTGCAAAGATGGCACGTAGAGGATGTCGTCGGTACTCTCCCCATTCTGCTCCAGCTGTCCCTCGCCTTATTTCTCTCTGGGCTGCTCGTCCTTCTCTGGAACCTACACAGCACCGTCGCCGCCGTCGCGTCGACGCTCGTGGGGCTCCTTGCCGCCTTCACCGCTGTCACCACGCTGCTCCCTCTCTTCGATCACAAATGCGCCTATCTTTCGCCCCATGTTCGCACTCTCCACGCACTTTGGCAGCCAAAGTGCTTTGCCTTCTGGGTGTGTCTCTCGATATCACGAGGCCGTCGCGATGCTGCAGCATTCCTCGCGATCGTACCGCACATGCTGTCCATCCTCTGCCAACGTCTCCGCTTGTATGCATCACTAGACTACTGGAAAGTGTTGTGGCGCAAGATGCGGGCTGCAGCTGGACGACTGAGCGAGCTATCCTCGCCACCAGAGACCTGGAGAGCCCGCAAGCAGAGTTGGAAGGGGCAAGAACGATCGGCAGTCGATGAGCTCGCATCCGAATTGGACAAGCAAATACTCCTGGAGGCGTACAGCGCAACTCTGCACCCCAACGCCCTCTCTGCCGCGTCCGTGTGCCTCATGAACTCCTACCATGAGGACGTCATTGACTACTTCCGGAAACTTCACACATCCGTCCGAGAGCACTTCGGTCCCGTGGCGGACTCGGATAGCGGCCCCCTGGGGTGGGGGAACCAGCAGCTGCTGCTATGGCTGCACATCATCCTTTGCGTACTGCTTGAGGATCAATCGCCTCTGTCGGACGACGAAGCGGCCGCATTAGGCATCTACTTCGGATTCGGACTGTGGTCGTCCGGTATGCGAGCGGCCGACGCCGAATGGGCGACAGCTGCTTGCGATGCTATCTCGGACTACATCGAGGTCGCAGGAACATCCTTCAAGGCGGTGTTCATTGACCAGGATCGTCTCACACTGAAGAGGTCGTCCCTGATCTACAATGCCGTGCGGCGCGAGCAGCCTCTAACGAGTGTGCTGCTGCCAGGTGTGACAATTTCTCCTTGTGGAACTCTGCGTAAACTGATCCGCTTCCTGAACAGCCGTTACCGGCGCATATCGCCAGGTTCGCCTCAAGCAGGCCCGCCTCGCCGAGACGACTTCGGATGACGCGAAGGACGCTCATACGGGCTTCATCAAAAATATCGACCATTTCTTCGGGTGCGCCGATCTGGCCTTGGCATCTTCCCTGCCTGCCGACGACCTCGACACCGTTCGTACCTACGCGCGGGACGTTCTCGCCGAGCTGACGCGCACGCTACTGGAGCTCTTCGCGGAGGACAAGGTGCGGACCGTGATAGTGTCGACACATCTCGACGATCTTATGCGGACGCTTCGCTACTTCGATCGCGCTCATGTGGAAGAGTGCATTCCGGACGATCTCTTGCCAGACATTCTACGCTTGATGGAGAGACTCGCATCGGCCTCCGGCTATGTCGACAATGACTATGTGGAGGGGATTCAAAAGCACGCACGCACATTTATGGAAACGATCGTTCGCGTAAAATGCAAATCTGAGACGCCGTCAGTACTACATCTCTCTACTCAGATACGAGTCGCTCACGAGCTTTCTTGCACCTCCAGAAGATCTCCCGAGACAGTCCCTGCTGAGCCAACAGCGACGGAGGTCGCCACTGTCGAAGGCACCACAGTCCCGTCCGCACAATCCGGTGTTGACGATACTTTCGGTGCTGGTCGCGATCCAGGGGACCGCTCACACGGTGCACACGCTGGGTCTCCTCTCGACGGTGTCTCGTAGGCTTCATTCACCTCTCGACTTCCACTGTGGCTCGTTCTCCCTGTCCAGTGCCGCTCTTTCTCTTCGCCAATCTCCTCCTTCGTCCTTCGTACTTATGCATTGATCATACATCGGTGCGCACCAGGCGAACATCTCTCCTATGGCTGCTCCCTCGTCCGTCCGAATCATATCCCCGGCCCAATTCCCGAACACTCGCGCCCCCGCAAGCGCTCTCCGACGATGTCCTCATGCGATGGCGACCCACGGATTGAGTTCATCCGCTCCCCACACCCCTCCACGAGCTCGAGAGTACGCTAACATCATCTCTCGGCCCTTCCGGTCAGCGCTCGCCGCGTTGTTCGCTCACACTGTCGAGGTCCAGACACCTGTCGCTTCATTTCTGGATAAGGTCACTTGCATTCAAGCCGCCGGCTATACACTGTCCGCTGATCGTGTTTGCCGTGTGAAAAGGCTATGTCAACACCGCTCAGGCGAGGGTCTGCGCCCGCGCCAATTCATCGCGCGCCGCCCTGGGTACAAGAGCACGACTTATACGCCGTCTAGGAAAGCCTCCATGCTCGAAAAGGGGGAATTCGTTATGCGGGCCGCTATGCGGAAGGGAGTACGTCGCGACCTCGGGGGTTTGGGTCATGCACTCCTCGATGGGTAATGTCAGCGGAGGTTATATTTGCATGTCTTTTGACCCTGCGCGCGGAGGCGTTGAGCGGCATTCCTGGGGAGTTCGACAGCGCGGCGAAGATATCACTAGTGGCACCCGCGTACCCGCCATTTCTTCGCTGCTGTAGCTGTAACCGTATGCGCTCCAGAACGACTTCGTGCCCCGCCTCCCGACGTTGTCCACGCTATGCCGGAGAGCCGCCTTCGACACGTTCAAATGCAAGGGGGACGTGCTGCGGGAGCACCCATCCTCCCTGAGCTCCCCGAGCGCTCTTCTCAAGCCGAGGAATGCCGAGCTCTCGTCTCAGCATGCCGTTCCGTCGTCGCGGATTACGGTTGTATCGTCCCGAAATGCCGCCATGTAGTTATAGGCGTTGGCGGTGCTCGATCTACTCGATGCTCTCATAGCCGCCTCGGAAGGTGCGCTCGGTCGGTCTTCCTTGCCATACTTACGGGCCGCGCACAGGGTTTCAGTGCCACGGGGGACGCGGGGTCTCATGTACCGCACGGTCCCACCCCACGCCCTTTCGAAAACGCACGGATAGCTATGGCCGGGATATGGCTGCGGAGTCCCCACTATCACCTTGCGCACTGAGCGTGGATGACGCATTCCGAGACATATCAACACCCTGTGCGCATGTCAGCAGCGCTCCATAGTTGCTGTACGGCACAGGGTACCCGGTTCGAGCGAAGTAACCCATGATCGGACGACCACCTCCCCATATCCGCACCGGCCTCGCGGTGTCGCGTAGGCTATACAGGGCCTCCGCACGTTCATTTTGGTATGTGTTGGCTCTGTTCGCACATAAAAATCTCCGCACGCTGTCACTTCAAGACACGAGCGCATGGCCGTGGCCAGGGGCAACAGCAGCAGCAGTAAGCGCGCGACAGCGGCGTGGCGAAACATGCAGGGGCAGGACACGCGACGTCCTCCTAGGGTACAAGCACGTTTGTATAGCGGCTACTAGAACCCCGGTATGTAGGTATGTGGTGATGGCGATTGGGCAGGGGCAACAGAAGGGAAGTTAGGGTCCTCAGAGGTGCATAGGCGTTGTGCTTCAATGGGTTATCGGCCATTTCACAAACGGGCATGTCTGCAGGAATCTTCCAGAGCCGCATGAGAGCGGCGCCCACACCTCTGATCCTCTGATCTCATATCTGAGTCGGCCCGCACCCGGCTTTTGCGGAGTTGCTCGTCCTGATGCCAGTTGCCCTGTACCGAAAGTGCCTGCGCATAACACATTCCGCCGCACGACGTTCGTGAGGGACTCAGGTGAGTGCGCCTTATCATGACCTTTTTCTGCCTGCTCATATCCTTCCCGGATCTTCCGGCAACGAGGTGAAGGCATTCCATGCTGCGTGCTACTAGCGTGTACTGCGACGCGCTCTCAAAAGGCCACACATACAGATCGGGTACGCTGTCAGCCTTTTCCTCGAGATCCCTGCCTCTCTCATCGTGTCTGCCGTTTTATTTACAGTGCTAGTAGCGACCTAGGTGCGCCTGAAAACCAATCCACGCGCGAAGGTCGTTATGCTGAACTGCATTGGGGACAGAACCACAGCATGCCGCGTTTCCTAAACACATGGACGGGCGAGTTCGAATGGCATCATGACGCCGAACGCGTCGTCTACGCCATTCTGTCCCATACTTGGCGGTCACCTAAGGACGGTGGCGAGCAAACGTACGCCGACGTTCTGAAGCTCCAAGCAGCCGTGAAGAAAAGCCGCCGAAACACTCAGCCATCTGTCTCCACCACATCCTCCTCCAAGTTCAACGATCGCGGCACCATCTTCGCCCATCCCGAGCTCTCAGAGAAGATCAAGGGCGCCTGCAAGATCGTGCGCGATGCCGGATTCCGCCTCATCTGGATCGACTCCTGCTGCATCGACAAGTCAAGCAGCGCGGAGCTCGCCGAGGCGATCAACTCGATGTTCAAGTGGTACAAGCTCTCGAAGGTCTGCTACGTCTTCCTTGAGGACGTCCCCGGCCGCTGCGAAAACGCCAAAGATCAGGCGGCGCGTTTCCGGAAGAGCAGATGGCACACTCGCAGCTGGACGTTGCAGGAGCTTGTCGCGCCCACGCGCGTGCAGTTCTACGCTCGGTGCTGGTGCTTCCTCGGCACGAAGGAGGGGCTCGCCAAGACGCTGGAGAAAGCCACGGGCATCCACACCGACATCCTCACCGGTCGGGCTGCTGTGGAGTCAACCAGTGTCGCACAGCGGCTGTCGTGGGCTGCGAAGCGACGCGCGACGCGGGTTGAGGACGAGGCGTACTCGCTCATGGGCCTGTTCGGCGTCTACATGACTCTGATCTACGGCGAGGGCAAGAACGCGTTCCTCCGTCTCCAGGAGGAGATCGCGAAGGCGAATCCCGATCAAACCCAGCTCGCGTGGGCAGCCGAGAACGACCCGCATGCGCTGGTAGAATATGGAGTACCGCCACCCGACGCCTATTATCCCCCCGCGTTGGTGTCACTACCGCAAGGATTGACATCCCCTGCGTACCTCGACCCCGGGCTCGCTACCGGAAACCCTACCCTACCGTCTTTCGGCGGCTACTACGTCGCGGACCCCTACGACTTTACGGTCGGACCTGGCCCCGTATTTTACGCCGACGAGGGCGACCTCGATGCATACCACATGATGCTGTGACCCTGTGCCAACCGTTAGAAGGTGCGTGCATGAATTCTGAAGTGGCCTAGGCGGTGTTCCCCACAGTACACCTTCTATGCGGAGATGCTGCCCTACTTCTATTTGGCTCCTATACATAAGATGCGCTAATTCTATTGTTTCCATAGCTTTCATTGGTATATCGAATATTGAAGCCTGTCGCCCGGTAGAGCCTACTCCATTGGCTGGCGCGCGCGGGCTCGCGCGCTACACCACTTGGAGCTACGATATAACGTCAGATTAGTTTCAAGTAAATATGAATATGTATACTTATTATCTCACTCGCTTCGAGGCGCGTAGTGCAGCCAAAACATTTGCATAGGATCGTATACAGTGTGCTTGATCGGCACCGGAGGAGGATCGGACTTTAGGATAGTCCAGCCTCTGCGGGCTGCAGGGCATCGCGAGCGTGGCGTGCGACGGGAGCGAGAGGCATGAGTATGAAGGCCCTTATTGGACAAAAGCATCTTCCCGGCGCCATTCCCTAGGTACCATACGGTAAATGCCGGGCATGCGCGGTAAAACCCAATATAGTAATGTCAACCTCAGTCCTCTATGTCTACCTCGGTCGACCTCATAAGTCCTCTCTCAATCGGATACAAGGCTACCTCAGAATACTGTGGTAACACTTCGGTCTACTAGCTCAGCAATGCTATCAGTATATCATACGGTATACCACAGTCCATGCCGGTCGTGGTAAACACGAGGCTACTGCACACCCACTTCCCGTTGCTTTACCTCGGGCAAGTCATATTGATCGAGCTCAATGCTGATGTAATATCCGCGTGGCTATTTGCTCGGGCTGTCGATGACTGAGTGCTGACTTGACTTGCTTCCTCCTGCTCTCCTTCATAGCCATGGCTCAGTTATATGGTCGATTCTCTTGCGTTCTATCCGACTGCCATTGTCCCCAATGGTTCAGAAACATTGTAATGGCACCTGGTGATTTTACGGCCCCGTTTGTGAGTATTCTCCCCGTTCAAAACCATTTTTTCCTGGCATATTCACCGCCAACCTAGCTTCCTATGCAGCCTTCCGAGCGTTGCTCAGGATGTCAGCATCCTTGGCACTCCCATCGCACGCAGGCTCAGTCCGAAGCGCCATCGCAAGTCATCTATGACATATCGTGGGGAAAGGCAGGGTTAGAGGCTTCTGGCTGTGGAGGATATCATCCGGTGCGTCTTGAGCGCTCTTCGCTCAATAATTCCCTTTCTCAACGACCTTGAACCACAGATGCACCATGCTGAGGCTTTTAGCTCTCAGGCTCTTTGTCTGTGCAGCATGCCGTGGTACTTACACGCCGGGTTGCCTCCCTTCCGGTTAGTCCCATTTTTGAACATCCTGCATCGCTCCTGCGTAAGCTCATGTGTCGTTCACCGCAGATCCCCTGTGAATGCTCCACCTATTGCTATTCCTCCTGGGCCTGCTTCTACTGCTATTCCGCCTGCGCTCCCTGCGCCCCATTCCGGTGGAGGCTCTCATGGTCTTTTGAGTCCCACTTCCGTGCCGCCTATCCATGCCTTCCAAACCCGTCATCACTCTCTGTCTGTGGATTCATCCAATGTCGCTGCTGCACGCCGCGCCAGCATAAGCCGCAATCTGCCTCAACATCGGGCTCCTTCTGGTACTCCATCTGTCGCTACGCGCACCAACCCACGATCCCCGTATCCTGCTGCAACAACGGCGAGCCCGTTTGGCACTCTCGCTCCCCTCGACAGTCCTGAACTGAAGTTGCGCATCGCAATTGTCCTTCTGCCGCTCACTGTTGGTGATTTTTAATTCCAGCTTCGTGCCGGTACTGACATGTTTGCACGTAGCTAAACAAGGCTCATGAAGACATCTACATTCCTGTTCCCACCATCTCGATAAAACGGTCTCCGACTGATCTCCCTGACCTTCTTGGCGCTCTCACTCGGCACCATCTCTTCTTCGATGTAGAGCTGTCTTACTCGTCTCTTGATGACGAGGTCTGGAAACAGGTCTCTGCCGCTATCGACGGTCACCTGTCTATGCACAACCTCACTCTCCCCGCGGATCCCCGACCTGCCAGTTCCCTACCTCCTGCTCAGCCTGCTCTCGACTTTCACCGTCTGGGATGGGTCGTCGCAGAGAGCCGAGGCCGTATCAGCACACGTAGTAGGCCGCCGCGTCTCGAGCCAAAGGACGACTTCATGGGCTATGACTTGACTGTCCGTTGGTGTCAGTCGTTTGGGAAGAAGGTCAAGCATCCATATGAAAACATACCGTTGATATTTCTTTGTAAGCAGTGCTCCCTGTTCACTTCATACCCGCTGACATTGTCCTACATAGGCACTCGGTTCGGCAACATGAAGGCACCCCTCGTCAAAATCCTCCCATCCCTGGGTGTTTGCACTTGTCTTGCTCTTCCTCATGGATGCTTTGGATTCCGCGTTCTGAAGCAGCTGTCGTGCTGCGATTTTCACAATCAGGAGCAAGACCTCTTTGGCTGTCGCACCGATCATTGCCCGTGCACCTGTTCATGCGCCCGTTATCATGTTCAGTCGACAAGCGAGCCCATCAGCATCACAGCGCCATCATCCGTTCCAGAGCATTCCCTCGGTGTTCATGCACGCTCTCCAGAGAGCCTGGTGAGCCGACATTCATTATACGAGCATCCAGACCTTCACTGACATTTGGATCAAAGCATTCTCCAAGTCCGGCTTCTGGGCCTAGTTCAAGGCAAGCTGTCCGCCGCCGTCTTGATGAGCCGGATGCATATAATGCAGAGGTACGTGCATGATGCTTTTTTGCTTTTCGGCGAGTACTTTGTTATATTCAGTTAAGGTTGCGCTCGCTCGGCGTAGGCGCCTTAACTGAATATAATACATCCCCTTGAGCGAGGCGCGGTGCGAGCATCCCCTAGACCATCAGCTTGTGGACGTTGTGAGCAGCAAGGTGGCATGCAACATACAGGGCATCCCTGTGATGTAGCGCGGGGCAAAGCAGGACTCACCGTCGAGACGCGTACAAGGTGACATCATGGCACCGACATCAGGTGGCACTCGTCGTAGAGAGGGTGAACAGGGTCAGCTCGTGGTGCTATCAACCTTTGCAGGGGATACGGGCGCAGTTCACACAGGGTCATCGTTGGCTTCATAGCTAGTTCACAGGTTGTTCGTTGTTGGGTAAGCGTGTTTGTCGTGTGCACAGTTGAAGTCCTCGCCATCTGACGGGTTCGTGAGGTAGCTCTGGCCTCAGCAGGCAGGTCGTTGTAGTAGGGGGTACACGGGGTCGTCACACGGCTTCACTCCTACTAGGCAAGGGTTCGCAAATAACACTTCAGTGGTGGACAAGCATTTGTGTATGAGACACTCCGCCAAATGCCTCTAGCCCACGCTCGATCTTCCTTCTCCCCGCCCTTATTTCTCATACATACTTAACCTGTTCCCTGACAGACACAACTGGCGATCACCTCACAAACACTGACACTTCTAAACTCGGAAACATCCCGTCAGCAGGTATATGCTAGTGATTCAGATATGACGCTGCGGTTGATCGCTCAACCTCCTCTGACAGAACACATCGGTCAATGTCATGGCTGCGTCCCCCCAGGCCAACGCCACCGCTCCTCTTCTACATCATTCTCCTAGTCTTCCCCCTGCTCCTCCGCCATCCCGCTCTCCACGTATTTCCATTCCTTTTCTGCAGCCCCAAGTTGCCGGTGTGCCGACGTCGACGCTGCCGGAACGTGCCCAGGCTCCGCTTCCTGCCATTCCACTTCCGTCCATTCCATCTGAGCTACAGCTCTGTGAGTGGAAGCGTACCGCTATCGACTGCGCGTCCACTCTATTCTCTATCTCTGATGACGGCATCGATGTCCATATCTCCGCTCAAAGTCTTGACGCAGCTGCGGAGGGGTTGGTATACGCTTTGGTCCAGCTGGTGTCTGACAGCACACAGCACACATGGTATCCGTCCATCACTGGTCTCAGGTACCTGTCGGTACATTCAATATCTGCGTTCTTCCGTGAAGAAGACTTGCAACGTGTCTTCTCTGTGTACGCCGTCCTATCGAATTCATTGATGTCATACTTGCAACTCACTATACCCATTCCAGATCTTCTGGCACAGGCCAAGGCGTCGAGCGAGCCGTCATCCATCACGCCGTGCAGCACGCTACCCAGAACGTCTTGTTCTGGCTTGACAGGGGGAATTTCAAGTACCCGAACTTTATGTCCAACACTACCACCACGCCAGAGCGCCTGAAACAATGGACTGCGTTTGGTGCCCTCGCCGCCATTCACCTGTTCACTCTATCCGCCGGTCCTCTTCCAATCTGTCCGTTCTTTCTGTCACTTGTGGTTATCCAGCATCGCTTGTCCCTCTCATCTGCCAACGATCCAGGCGCGGCACCTTCCCCTCCTGGCGGCGATAAGCGTCCCGCCACCAAAACATGGCCTCTTCTCTCGATCACTCTCCCAGTGCTTGCGTTGTTGGACCGACCATGCGCAGATATCCTGCGCCCGTGGTTCAACCTAGCTGCAGACGAGCCAATTCCAACCTCCCTCACTGATCCGGTGTGTCAGTTTCTCATGAATGCCGTCAACCAGCAGGTACGTTGCACGCTTCTCTCGTTAGCAATCAAGCACTCAACAGACTTGATATTTGTAGCCTGCGATTGTCAGATTGACCAGAGCTGGTCGAGCGGAGGTCCATGACTCCTGGAGCTCGGATTTTATGGGCAAGGTGTTGTTCCCGGACTCACGAGACGACTGGGAAGTCAACCAGGAGTTTCTCGCGTTTTCCGCAGGGTTTAATACTCCGTTGGGCGGTGGTACGACCTTGATCTCAGTAAGTAGTAGTACGTGCGCGATCTCAGATCAGATTGGTCTGACCGTACTTGCGATTGCAGACAATGGAGCCCTTTGTAGGTGCTCACGGGGTGCCAGCCTTCATAGCTGCGCTGTACGATAGGACAGTGAAGACTCCTTCCCAAGTCATCGACAAACTCTCCCCTCAGTACCACTACTCCGGTGTCCAGCCGGCCCACTTGCTTCTTCAAAGGCTCTTTGTAGCCTGCCTCGTCCGCTATCTGAATGGCAAGGGCCATCCAGACCACCCGGAGCTGAGAGCGAGCGGTCTTGTCGAAGATGACCAGTTCATAACTCGCCAGGACGACGTCGCCCTCCGATCTCAGATGTTCCTAAAAGCTGTTTCCGATACGTGGGCTGTCCCTTTAGACCCGGACTGGAGCATCAAGGTGAGTACTCTTCGCTCTTCATCTGCTCAGTACTCGTTGACAGTTCTTTTCATCCAGATCAGGTTCAACAGAGACATAGTTAACAAGATGGATACCGTGTTGTTCATCCATACTTGCTTCTACGCTGTGGATGTAGAGATATCGTGCTCCCTCGAAGACTCGCTTACCAGGCCCAATGCCCTCGCAGCAGTTGAAGTAGCTACTGACTTTGACTCCTGGATACACACTCAACTGCTGTCTTCCGATGCTCATTATAATAGGGGTTAGCCATTCCAGCATTCCCGCTTTAAAATCATGTCATGTATATCTCTCATTAAAATCTATACTAGCCCCGTTCTCCCTACTTCACGTGTCGCATTGTTGTATGCTCATTCAACCCGTCCACCGCACCCTCCGCACGGTACCTCGCGCCCAATGAGCACCACTCACTGTGTGCCGCCGTGTACATCTCTAGTCATGGTGTAGCTGCACCCTAGAAAGGCCATCTGCAGGTATCAGTATTGAACAATACCGTGCCTGCATACGGATCATGGGGGAGAATATATGAGTACGGAGTTCTCCAAGTATCTTGCAAAGCAAGGCACTAAACAAAAGCTCCCGACGCATGACACACCCGAGCACAACGGTGTGAGCAAACACGCGAACTGGACCATCATGGAGAAGGTCCGCCCGATGCTCAATGCCACTGGGTTGCCTGATGTTGAACAATACGGCCCGCGCGTGGCAATCTGCGCGGACCCTCGCGCGTTGTCCTCGAGTGGCGCGTCGCCAGTGGCGCGCGCCACGAGGTTGACTAGCATTGTATACCCCGCGCGAACGTCGCGCGCACCGCGCAGACGTCGCACTTGGCTCGCGACTGGACAAGATTCCTCCTAGCTACGTTGTACTTATTGTATATGGACATTTTTGTTTACAATACGTATATATATCGCGCCGTCATCGTACGCTCACCTCAGTCCGCTGTATACGAGACTGAGGTGAGCCATACTTATTGTCCTGTTCCTTACTTGCTTACTTATGCGCTTTATTACGCTTAGATATCGCTCATAGGTATACTTCAATATATATAAAGTCCGCTGTATACGAGACTGAGATATCGCTCATAGGTTATGAGCCCTGCCTGCTAGGCGGCTCCCTGCATATACTCAGAAGAAATCACTTACCGAAATACAACCCCTCACAATGTCGAACTCCGTAAAGGTCGGAACGGACGACTTTGTTCGCGTACCCAGGCTTGAGGTAGGGGGCGCAAACTGGGTCATCTTCAAGGACCGTTTGCTGTGGGCCGCGGATGCGAAGGGCGTGCTGGGGCACCTCGACAGGACGTCGAAGGAGCCAGAAGCGCCGGCGCCGAGTCGAGCCGAACCGAGTGGTACGGCCGCGGCGAGCGCGAGCACGACCGCTACGCCACCTGCACCGGCAGCAGGGGAAGGAGCGGCCGCAGCCCCTCCCGCACCCGCGGCAGGGGGAGGAACAGCGGCCGCTGCAACAGCGGGCGATGGAAGCGCGGGCGGCGCGGCAGGCCAGACTGGTCAGGCTACCGCGGAGACTCCCGACCCGGCGCAGACGAAATACGATACCGATATCGTCGAGTGGCGCAAGCGCGAGGCGACGGCAAAGCAGTTGGTCGCCAGCACGATTCCCGACTCGCTCTTCATGAAGGTGCGCGGCCGCGCGACGGCGTGGGCGATCTGGGAGGCCATCGCGGCTGAATTCGAGAAGAAGTCGCGCATGTTCACAGTCAACCTGTGGCGACGACTCCAGGACCTGCGCTGCGGGGAAAAGGACGATGTCAGAACTCATTTTGCGAAAATGCGTACCATTCATGAAGACCTCGCGGCCATGGGCCAGCCCCCGTCCGAAGACGACTTCTACGCCATCATCCTCGGCTCGATGCCTCCCTCCTATGAACCGTACCTGTCTGCCCTTTCTGCGGCGATGCGCGCGACGGATAAGCTTCTGTCGCCCGACGACTTGATGGACGGCTTGACTGAGGAGTACGAGCGCCAACTTTTGAGGTCGCGCGGCGGCCAGAGTCGAGACGCAACGGATGTCGCATTGACCGCCAATGATCGAGGCGGGAAGTCAAAGTCGAAGCGAAATGCTGAGTGCTTCAACTGCAAGAAGAAGGGCCATTACAAGGCCGACTGCTGGGCGCCGGGCGGAGGCAAAGAAGGCCAAGGTCCGAAGGGAAAAGGAAAGCAGAAGGAGAGCGCGTCGAGCGCGGACGCAAAGGAGCAGTACCTCGACGTCCGCGCAGTCCGAGTCCACGTCTGAGTCCCAGTCCAAGTCCCAGTCCGAGGGGTAGTCCGAGTCCGATCTGAGATCACTCAGGCACCCGACGTCGTCATCAGGCACCGAGTCCGGGCTGTCATGCCGTCGCAAAGAATGACGTCGCAAAAGAAGCCGTTAAGGTTCGGATTAGGGTTCGGATTAGGGTTCGGGATTAGGGTTCGGGTTTTGCCGGGGTTAGACGCCTCCAACCTCCTCTCCCCCCAAGAGGGAGCCGGTCTGGAATAACACGCGAACGAGGCTTTAGTGTACCCGCCTGAGTGTTCCCGGCTTGGGGGACCCCCCGAGCGGAGCGAGGGAGGGGAGGGAACACGAATGGCGGGCCCTCTTCGCGCAAAAAACGCTAAGTCCAGACTATAAGCGCCCTTCCCAATCGGGGACGTTCTCTACTATTTCCTCAAACAAATCTCGATGGTGCGACGTCATTCTTTGCGACGGCCGACCAGCCCCGAGTCCGAGTCCGAGACTGTCGCCAGATCGGGCATGTCGTCATCCAGATCGGAGCCTCCAGCGGCTGAGGCGTACACGAGCCACGCTTTGTCTTTGCTACCGCGCAGGATCGCGCGGTCAAGGACGAGATAATTCTATTCGATTCCGGCGCGTCGCACCACATGTCTCCTCACCGCTACAAGTCCGTTCGCTACGAAGCCATCCCCGCGAGGTCCATCCACGCAGCCGACTTGCACACGTTCAAGGCCGTCAGCAAGGCCGATATGTACATCACCATTCCGAACGGAAAGGGCGAAACCACCCGCGTCCTCCTCCGTCACGTCCTCCATGCCCCCGCAATGGGCGCGACCCCCATATCCGTCAGCCGCGCAACGGCTGCGGGCGCATCCGCAACTTTCCACAAGGGCGGTTGTCGCATCTCGAACCCGGCGGGAGAAGTGGTCGTGGATATCCCAATGATGGACGGGCTGTACCGCATCACAAACGCGAGCGAGGATTTCGCTGCACCCGCTGCCGAGAAAGCGCCACCTGCAAAAGGAGAGCGTGTAGTCAGCATCGACGACCTCCACCAGATGATGGGCCATGTCTCGTACGAGGTTGCGCGCACAGTCGTCACGAAGGGCCTTGCGAAGGGCATTGTGCTCGATTCGACGCCCGCACCGGCTGTCTGCGATGCGTGCGAGAGCGCTAAGATGACGCGCAAGGCAATGGCGCGCGAACACGTCCGGCCGCGTGCCGAGAACATCGGAGATGAGCTCCATTCGGACCTGTGGGGGCCCGCGCCCGTCCAGACGCTTGGCACGCGGTGCTACAACTCGATGTTCACGGACGACTGCTCGCGGCTAGCCTTTGCGCACCTGCTCCACTCGAAGGACGAGACCTTCGACGCCTACAAGAAGGTCGAGGCCTTCCTCCTTACCCAGAAGGGCGTGCGCGTGAAGTGCCTGCATACGGATCGCGGGGGAGAATACATGAGCACGGAGTTCTCCGACTACCTCGCAAAGCAAGGCACGAAGCGCAAGCTCACGACGCACGACACGCCCGAGTACAATGGCGTGAGCGAACGCGCGAACCGGACCGTCATGGAGAAGGTCCGCGCAATGCTCGACGCCTCTGGGCTCCCCGATAATCTTTGGGGCGAGGCGACACACCACGCGATCTACCTCAAGAATCGCACTCTGATGTGCACCCTCAATGGCCGCACACCATATGAGTGCTTCTGGAACTACGTGCCCGACCTCTTGCGTCTGCACCCGTGGGGCTGCGAGGTCCGCGTGCACTCCCCAGGCGGCTCGAAGTCCTCAAGCCGGGCTGTGATCACTCGCTGGGTCGGCTTTGACGAGGAGACCGATGCCCACCGCATCTACTGGCCGGACCGCCACACAGTGACGATCGAGCGCAGCGTCCGCTTCAATGTCAAGAGCGGGCCTCTCGACATTGAGGTGCCTCCGTTCGAGGGGGAGAAGGAAGACAAAACGCAAGAAAACACTCACAAGAGCGAGCGGGCCACCTCGCCAGCTCCCGAGCCTCCCACTGTCCCTTCTACTCCCGAGCCTCGCGTGCCCGAGGAGGCTCCGCGTGAGCCTCGCGCGCCCGACGCACTTGGCGGAAACTTCGAGAATGTGTCTGAAGGTCGTCCGAAGTGTGCGAGCAAGGAATCCGACTACATTTGCAGGCTGTGTGCAGGCGAAGTCAGCGCGACAGGAAGAGCACGCGAGCAAGTGTTGCTGAGAGGAGTTCAAGCTGGGACCGAGAGCGCACATCAAGGAGATAGCCAAAGAACCAGAGACGGTGCGTGCCGCGAGGTTGACTAGCATTGTATACCCCCACACGAACATCGTGAGCACACTACATTTGGAAGAGCAAAGTCGATTAGATGAGCTTATATGCATTGCTGCCTCGTACCCGGAGACAATGTCTCCCTTGTGCCGGATCTGGGAACAATGTCTCAGCGCCCGCAGGCCAAAATGAATTATTTCCTCAGTTCTTTATAAACAACCAGTTATGTAACTTTGGGACGTCTCTTTTAAGGTCACTTTATACCATTCTAAACCGGATTCAGGCTGAACCAGGCAAAATGACCATATCTGAATTGTCCACAATAAGGCACACAAATAAGCGCCAAACGACACCAGGCATCGAGTCAAACTCTCTCTCTCTCGTTTAAATTCTTCAACAACATTCCACCATATTGTCTACCTGGAGTGATGGACCCTCTCAGCCGTCCTCATCGCACTGTTGTCAGAACGTACATCACACGCAGAGTCACTCGCACTAGGGCCCAGGAAGCGACCGAGGGCCCTCATCTTTTGTCTGATGAACATGCAATGGAGAACGAGTCTCAGCTCGGTGAGCATTTTCTGTAGACGGGATTTGTTCCAAGTGCACTAAGTACCTTGATATGCCCAGCTATAGGAGAGGAACGTTCCGGCACCTCACATGGTGCTCCGGAAAGCGATCAACTCTCAGAGTCTGTGGCTACCATTGCTGCTACTCAAAATGCAAATGGTCAGCAATCGCAGCTCACATTTGGTAAGTAAACGTATCCGGTCCAGATTTATTTGTTTGTCTAACCTACCTTAGATGATGTTGTGCAGCACGATGCAGAAGAGTTTGCTAGCTCTGATGATGAGCCTGATATTCTCAGACGCTTGGCGACTACTTCACGAGCGGTAGAGGGGGGAACCAACGGGGTGGCAGGCATGATAGGTGAGTAGCTCTCTTGCGAGTATATAAGCTGAATATACTCACGAGTGAGTCTCAGACTTGAGGCATGAAGAACTCGGTCATGGAGACATCGCACCTGCACGTCCTCCTCCAAGTACCGCCTCATCTGATACTACACCGACCCTACCTCCTTTGGAAGCACTAGGAATCTCGCAAAACGAGTTCATGGCTATGTCCCCCTCCGACATTCTTGCACGCCTCCAGCTTCTACGCAGCTCTCAGTCCAGCATCACTCCTGGCCATGAGAGCGACAACCATCGGCCCCCTGCGCTGGTCACCCTGGAGAGAAACGAAGAGGTGACAACCGGTCGCGACAACATACCTCTTCAAGCCGAGCAGTCGCAGGATTCGGAGGACCACATAGACCAATTGGAAGAGGAGCACGGAGCGCTGGAGGACAGGTATAGCGAAGATATCTACCTATACACGCCGGCTCCCAGCACATATCCGGTACGCGTGTGGATTTTCGATTCGACAGATTTTCTTGACCAATTCATCTCAGCCCATCCCGGCCGCACCACCCGTGCAAGATTGGACTACTCGCTTGTTGTCATACAATCCTAGCCTAGGGTCCGGGTTGGCGAACACACCGGTACGTGTCATTCTACCTTGTTCGTCGAGATCACTCACAAACAAGGTCTAAAAGCAACCTACGTGGACACCTGTCGCTACCAATCAGCCACGTGATGCCGCCCAGACGTATCTACGTGGGGTATACACTCCTCATGTCGAAAGATATCACCACATCTCGGTATCTGGCTACGGCGGCGCATACAAGACTTTCCTACAGCTTCAAGAAGTGCTCTCCGTCTGCGCCGCAGTACGCATAGTATTCCATCCAAACGCGACCCCAAGCATAGGCCATATCTCTCCCGACCTTTCTATTTCTCTCCATGACGTCCTCGTACTCTTCCAACTTTCACCAAACACTTTCAAGAACAATCGATCTCTTTTCAACGCAGCGGAGATCGTCTTTGCAGCGCTCTCTCAACTTCAGACTCAAGGTCTGCCCCTCTCCTCGGAACAGCGAGAGACGCAACCTATCTTGCAGATTATGTACGGTCAACTCGGGGCTCCGGTTCCGCCTCCTAGCCGTCTGGTGGCCGGCGATCCCAGGAAGGGTATTGTGCTGATCTCTTTGGCACGGTTCCGCACCTTGGTCATGAACGCACGGCAATAGGGGCACAAATGTATATGTTACAGTTCATATCGTACCTCGCAGCTTATATTGATCAACGGTCCCCACTGGAAATGGCTCGAGAGTGATGGGCACATTTCTACACATATGGCGCCGACATGCGGAGGGCGCGACTCCCTGATTGGTAGGTTCGTGCGCGAAGAATCACTGTCAAAACAAGCCCAGCGGTGCATGGTCGAGGACTGTGCGACAAAAGTGCGCCATTGTTGTTCTCAAGTGCCCATGCGCCTGTAGCGCGGGGCTGGACAGGTGGTTTGGCGGATCAAACACCTTGAGCCGCAGGAAGTTGCGGCCGGCATATGCCCGCGAACCCCGATATTTGTCTCGCCAGTCTGCCTTGAGCTGGACAGCAAGCAGGTGCTGGGCGTGCGCGAGCGAGCATTTGTCGCGCTCCAAAGGTATGTCCGCCGCTCTTTTGGCGTCTTCGTCTACTAACCACCAGTGGAAGACGATGCGTCGCCGCTCGTCTTTGGCCAGCCACTCGCGCACGTTCCGGCACGCGACCACGGATACCAGCTGCTGACCGTGCATGCCGGGATCGAGCAGGGTTCTCAGCGCCGACTCGTTGTCGGCTACCACATGTATGGTTTCGCATGGCTGTTTTGTTGCAAACGCTAATGCCATCCCTCCAGCCATCATTTTGGCGTTGTATGAGGTCCCCCGTCCCCCGGCTATGCCGCGTCTTACTAGGAGCCGCCCATTGCTGTATGCCCGGAACGCCGCACCCGTGCGGCACCTTGGTTTCGGGTACATAAGGTGTCGCAGAAGACGACTACAGCACGTTGGTCCGCCATCGCCTCAAGCAGGCGCGGCATCAGGTCGCGTTCCACCCACTTTGGGAGTTCCTCGGAGTCCTTCTTAGGATGCTCCAGGTGCCAGGTGAGTCGCTCACCGTATGTGTCCAGCACGCGGCATGAACGACGGTCAAGCAGAGAGAGCGATGATCTATCAAGGGAGCAGAGATCACATCGACCAGAGATGAGCACAGGGCTGGGTGAGTGCAGCAGGCAGCGATCAAGCAAGGGCCCGCAAAATGCGACGTGAGCGGGCACCTAAGATTAACCTAGATGGGGTGCCATTGGGCTGGTGCGAATGGGCAATTCGCGCGGGCTCAGCTGGACCCCTGGCGGTGGCAGCAGCAGCAGTTGCATGGCGAGTGAAACCTCGTCCACAATGCGACGTCCAGCTCGACTTCCCCGGCTCGACTATCGTGCCGCGCGCGCATGAACGGCGACAGCCACCCGAGCCCGAGCACAAACGGCTGCTGGAAGTCCCAGTACACGCACCTGGGCGAGCGGTACCCAACGAGGTACGCCTGCAGCGGCACCCCGGGGAGCGCAGCCTTGCCCGCGAGGCACAGCGCGCACCCCATCTGTGTCCGCCCCAAACGGCTGCCCCCATACCCAGCCCGTGGGGAACGCCGTGCCCCAGTTCTTCTCCGGGTGCGCGTGTCTGGCCCCAGTGATTGTCTGGGAAGGGCAGTTGCCGTGTGCGAGCGTGAGGTGGTGAGTACCTCCACATTTGCGACAGGCGGAGAGGGGTGGGTGGCGCAAATCGCCGGCCTGCGTCTGCGTATACTCGTCAAAGCAGCCAAACTGAGGCTTGACCCAGATGACCAAGGCCTCGACCAGAAGCGAGCGCGACTGCGCGTTGTCGAAGAGGAAGCCCTTCTGTCCAAAGTACGGCAGCGGCGCCCACTCTGCAAACCGTATGGGTATGAGTGTCGCGCTCGTGAACAGGTCTGGCGCAGCAATTTACGCAAGGATGCCTTACTCACCCGCAACCGCGCTCACGACCGCAAACGCCACAATTTGCAGATACATGATGAGCTTCCAGATGACAATCTTGCCCTTGGTCGATGTGATTGCGTTTGCGAAGGTCATCGCGATAGGCACGAGCTCCGTGATCTTGAAGACCTTGCTCAGTTCCGGGAGGATAGACATGAAGTGCTGCAGAGAGATGGTCTGTGTGGCAATGATAAATGCAGGAGAGGTTGTAGACATCATGCCGTTGACCTCCGAAAGGTGGGCACGTAGCTCGAGCTTGAAAGTCGCCTCGAGATGGTCTGCTGTGGCTCCTCTGCCAACGGCGAGCTCCTTTGCCTTCTGTAGTTCCCATGACCTGGCGTGAGCAAGGAGGAGGTCTCGAAGCACGGTACATACTATCGAACACTTGCTACTCACAGAATACTGACTACATGCACAGAGGGAGGTGCTGCTCGACGACGCGCGGGTACGGACCGTTGCAGTGCATTATAGTTGGGCGTCAATAACAGGAACAAGTAGCGCCCGCGGGCAAAGGTCGATTATTTCCTAGATTTCTGATAAACAACCACTTATGGAACTTTACGACGTCTCTCTCAAGGCCATTTTCTACCTTTCTAAACCGGATTTGGGCTCATCGTCGCAAAGTACATATACTTCAGTCGTCGATGCTAAGGCACACAAATAGGCGCTGAACTTGGGTGTCCTGCATTTGTGGGCACGCTCGCGATCTGCTTATTACCCATCTTTTATATTTCAACCTCACCTCTGCTCTCCCTCATCTCCAATGCCTGTTCAGCCCTTGGGACCTCCAGCATCAGCACCTGACTCCGTCCTTAACAATCTACGAGCCGCATATCATGTGCTGGAGGAGCGCGTGCACCGCGCACTTTTCACTCAGCTGGGGGACGCTGGGAGGCTGAGAGAGCAGCGAGCACAGGCCTTGTCTCTGTTGCAGGTTGCAGAACAGGTGTGCTCCTTGTGCACTATGTACATACTACCGTATAGCTCTGACCCTCTCCCACACAGCATCAGCACCTTTTCCCGGCTGCAGAGCTAAACACCTTGAGGCATAGCATCGCCAATATAGTATCCTCCCTCGACCAGGCCTGTCACCAATCATCGGACAGGCCTGATGCCCCATCTGTCATTGTTGCAAGCCGTAGCACTGGACGTCGTGGGAGACCACGCCTTGAGATAGACCCCCAGTTCTTACAAATGGCTTTGGAGCTGCGAGGTCCAACAGGGATTGCACCCGTATTCGGATGTCATCCACGCACCATCCGGCGACGAGCCTTGGAGGCAAACCTCGTCCAGCCTGGTCAGCCTGTCCTGACATCCGTCAACCTTCCCGACGGTAGCCTCCAACTGGTACACCAGTCGACAACCCGGCCAGTCTCCACCCTTACCGACAACCAACTTGATCAGCTTGTCGCAGACATCCTCGAGGTTTTCCCTGCCTTTGGGCGGAGAATGATCCTGGGCCGACTCAAGGCAGCAGGACACCATGTACCCCCAGAGAGGATCGTTGCGTCGTACGTTCGAGTTCACGGATCCCCAGGTGCTTTTGGACATCGTGTCATCCACAGGCGTGCTTATGTGGTGGCCGGCGCAAATTCGCTCTGGCACCATGATGGTCAACACGGTAAGCTTTGTACTTTGGCATGCTGCCAGATGCTGCGACAATATACCGTTCTGAGAATTTGTAGGCTTGATCAGATACAAACTCGTCATGCATGCGTTCACGGACGGAAAGTCCCGCCTCGTCACTGGATTCCGGGTTCATGACAACAACCGGTCTGATACCGTAGAACTCCTATTTGTCCAGAGCACTCAGAAGCACGGAGTTCCTAGCCGCGTGCGTGGCGATCATGGAACGGAAAACATGGGAGTGGCGAGGTGGATGGAAGAGCAGAGAGGTGCAGGCAGGGGGTCTTACATATGGGGCAGGTAAGTCTCGTAACCGACTTCTTGATGAAGACCATACAACGTAACTCTCCCTGCAGAAGCGTCCACAACACCCGCATAGAACGTCTTTGGTATGACGTTACTCACGGCTTCGGTCAGAAGTGGAAGAACTTCTTCATCGATCTGGAGGCAAACCACGGCCTCAACCCTCAGATACCAGAGCATATCTGGCTCCTTCACTATCTCTTTCTCCCGGCGATCAACCAAGATGCTGATGACTGGGTCGAGTCATGGAATTCCCATGTCCTACAGATACGCGGAGAGCGTAACCGCAGCCCTCGCGACATCTTCCTATTCAGCATGGTCCAAGATGGCCCACGAGGCCTCACGCTAGCTCAAGCCCCTACGGACGAGGACATCGGTGATCCAGCCACTTACGGCATTGACTGGACAGTTGCCGACGACCCTGTGCTCATGCAACATCTGCTGGATAACAATCCTCAAGACTGGGAGGATGAAAACCCATTCCGTGTTGGTGGTGGACCCACTCGCCTATCCGAAGTACTCTGTGTTCCACCAAACTGCCCTCTCAATGCGGACGAATTGCAATCGCTTCAGGATGCGCTACGGATGCAAGTGGACCTCACGTTGCGCAGCATGGACATTAGGAGAATAGTTTGGCAGACCGCGTTCCATCTATGCGACGAGATTTTGAGTCAACGTCGATGAAGATAGAACTCCAGAAGTGAAATGTAAGCCCTCTCACACCGTGCATGTTTCCATAACTCACCGGTGCAATATTAGGCCCTGACGTTCCACTCACCGGAGGCGGGTTGCGAGGTACGCAATTGCGCCATCTGCGACCCACGTCACTCACTCTTGCCTGTCAGCCCACGTATGCACCAACCCGCAGTCTGTCTTCCCCTCCCCAAGTCCTGCACTTCTGCCTTACCCCCTTCGTGCGGCGGAATGCGCCCCAGCCACCATGGAACACAACCAAGCGGCCATCGACAGCGAGGGTGCCGCAGACTCAAGAGCGTGCCCGGCGCCGCCGTGGAGTGTCTGCAATGGGGGACCATGCCCCCTGGCAGTGTGGGACTAGCCTAGCAATGCGCCCGCGTGTGGCGCCCCTCCATGCATCCTCCCGCCCCGCGTACATACATCAGTGATCTACAAGATTCCCGCCTTGACCCCACCCCACCTCCACTCCCCCACCATTCCCGCCCTCCCGTGCTGTCAGCACTGTTGCATGCCGTCAGCTCATCTGCAGCACAGCACGATGTGCACTCATGCTTACCAGGTCATGCATATCTGATCTTCAATTTCCTTGCGGATGCGTTTCCTCGTGGCGAGCTCGCAGGCGACCCAGAGAACGCGCGAATGAGATAGAGTACGTACCTGTTCCATTGCGCACGTTTCCGCTGACTGGACCGGCCCGGTGTTGCAGATTGTGCATTTGGCGCTGACGTTGGGCGAGGGTCGACAAAAGATGTGGAGCAGAGGAGAGCCGGGACATGTCGACGCAAGGAAGCTTGTCAATGCTGTCTCTTAGATTTAGGCGCCCGTCTTCCTTCGACCGCACGAAGTCCTCTCTTCTGGGAATCGAGTTCCTCTGCGCCGGTATCTCCCCTTGTGCGCGCCCTGTCCTCCCCTCTTTGTACTTTCTGGTGGTATCAAGCGCTGCCCGGGACAACTTTGCGCCCTTCGTGCTGCTGTCTCCCCGGACTCCGATTTAGTGCACAGGTCTTATGCTAACGGGCAAATTGGACGATTACGAGTCTCTCAAATGTCTTTCCAAGCACGCGGGGGAGGTAAATACTATACCTCTCCTGTAGTCACCTGCTAACCTGAATGCTTTTGCAGTCCATCTGTGCTGAGACAAGTCCCGAGTGTGGGATACATCCCGTGGAACTTTTCGGGCATCCCGCGCGCTCAATCCGGCCGGTGTCGCAAGGACTGAGCGAGGTCCTCTGTACAGTGGACACGTTCAACGGTTGAGCATGGACATCCCATTTTCGAGCGATCCCGGTGGTGCATGTACAAACCGTGGTATGTGCGCCTTCCTCGTGCGCAGATCCCAGCGTCCAACTGACTTCCCGGTAATTTCAGGTGCGTGGCGATTGCAAGAACATGGTACGCCGCGTCGGCGATGTTGCTGGCCCGCCGGATGGTTCCGCTCACTTCCTCGACCTCTCCCATGTCGGTGGCAGAGCCTCTCTTGCAACGGAGAGTCTGTGCAGAGCCCAAGCCCCCACCCGCTCGCTAGCCCTGCACCGCCACCACGACCACCGCCCAGGCATTCGCCCACCATCTCTCTCTCTCTCTCGCGCGCGCAAACGAAACCCACATGCCGGCCAGCCTTTCTCCCAAAGAAGATATATTTGGTCTCTGTTTACATGCACACCCCGTTCACGTCCACCCGGCCCCGCTCGAGCTCCCCTCCTAGCGGGACCAAGAGAGAGAGATCAGGTGAGTCCATCTATGCGGCGCGAGCCGCACCCCCAATATCCTCCACCCCACTCTCATGCGGGCCACCAGCTTCTCCGAGAAGTGCTCTGTGCCCGCGCCCGCGTCCATTCTGCGGCTCTGCCCGCAGCTCGTGGACAAGATCGAGCGGCGCACGGTGCCCAGTGTAGAACATGGCCCATCTACGGACGAAAAATAGGTGAGCACACGATGTTATCATGATATCCCGCCGCACGTACAGATGGCAGACAAAGAGCTTAAGGCCAATCCCGACCTGCCAACGGACATGAGCAACGCATAGTCAAAAAGAGTAGTGGTGCATACCGGAGCGAATGGAGTCGCGCTGTGCTTCTCCACCGCTAGTATGAGAATGGCGAGCACGAGCGCAGTCATGATGAACATCTCGATGAACACGCCCTGTGCGCGATTTACGTCCAGGGCAAGGAAGGAGTCGCGGAATCGTGGGCGGGAGGGTCCGGGTCCTGGGAACTGGCTGTGGGGGCAAGACCAAGGCTCGAGGGCGTGTCCGTGGTCGTAGGGCGCCCAAATCGCGCGTGCGGGTGGATGATAGTCTTCCTGTACGCGTAGACGCGGCTGAATGCGCCGGTGGTGTCGCATTCTTGCGAAATTGTCGAGCCTGAGGGGAGACATAGACGCTTTGGGGCTGGCTGCAGGAGCCCTCGTAGGCGTCGCAGTGATCGTATCGCCCCAAAATCACGCGCAGGTAAAGCCCTGCATTGGCTGAAGGTGTTCGCGCCAATTCCAGGTCGCGAGGCCGAGAGCGAGGGTGTCGGGAGCCCTGGAGCTCGCTGCAAGCCCCAGAACAGCGCAGAGCGTGAGGACGCGCCGTGGGACGCCTGAATCGCGCGCCGAGCTCCCTGAGCGTCGTGGGGGACAAGGAGAGCCGTCGCAGCTCGGCTTCGTGGCCGCAAACTCGCGGAACGCGATCAAGAGAGTGGGGAGTCCGGGATTGGCCGTGGGAGCGGATTTGAGTCTAGGGCAGCGAGGACGCCAACTGGGGAGTCGAAATCGCGCATAAGGGGTCTCCGGAATGGTTTCATGCCAATAAAGTGCGCGTCGCGCGGCTGCAATGCAGCGTTGTGGCGGAATCCAGAAGGAGGGCGGCAGGAGCCCGGGATCTGCCTTTAGGCGCCCAAATCCTCTGCCGAGCGCGTCGTCAGTGTCGTGAGGCGCCGCAATCGCATAAGCAGAGAGTCCGAGTACGCACAGTACTCGTGGAGCTGAGAAAACGCGGCTGCAACTCCGCAAATTTGCGAAATTGTGAAGGCGAGCGTACCGGGCGCCCTCAGAGCGTGCTCACCTGCTACACCTCCCCACATGCTGGTATCACCCCTAAACCACGCGTCGTCCCCTCTAAATAGGCTAAATAGTACGCGTACGTGGATTCGAGGCTGCACGCGGAGTTTGAGGCCGTCGGAAAGCCGCACAAGGCGACGCAGGGACGACGCGCAGGTAGGCGCCCATCCGCCCCCACTATGCGGCCGTGTCTGCCGAGAGTTCTAGGGAGGTCATTGTGCCACGAGATTGCGCACGTAGATAGCCGCAAGTCTTCAGTACATCAGAGAGCGCCAGGAAGGAGCTGTGTGGTCGTTCCGTGGCGAAATCGAGAGGAGCAATGTTGCAGGCCAGGGACAGGCACAGTCCACTGCCGGGACGTTCGTGTGGGTCGTGGGGCGCTCAGATTGCGTAGAGAATATGCTGAGGGTCGTACCGTGTGCGTGATGACAAAGAATTGCGGCTACGACATAGGGGGGCGGCGAAATCGAGATCGAGAGCCAGGGAGCAACCCAGCCTCCAGAGCCTCCCCTCGAGCAGCTCCCAGAGTGGGGGGAGGTGGAGTTCCGGATATACGTATGTTCTCCCCGGGCGTGCTCAGACACTCGCGTGGCTGGAAATGGCGTAATCTGTATGGTGGACTGCCTCAGGTAAGCAGAAACCGCATCGAAATCGCAGGGCTTACCATAGAGGCCACCTCGCGGTCGTGGGGAGACGAGAGCAGGCGGCAGGTGTTTAGCCACCCGCGCGGCACCCCACAACTCGCCGTGCAACTCTCTCTGGCACCGCCACCATCTCCTGCCGACTCCAGCATCCTGGCTCTTCCTCCTCTTGCTGTGCTCGTGGTCTGGGTTCGTCGATCTGGACTGCCGCTTCGCGAATCTGGTACTGTCACGAGAGAAGGTGAGTGCCTCGGTCTCGACTTCGCAGAATCGCGAGCTTGCTCACCTGCTGCCCCTCGCACGAGCGCGCTGTACACGCGTGATCTCGCTCGCCGTGTGCACCTCCGAGCACCCTATGTACACCTGCTGGCTGAGAGAAGGTAAGTCTCGCGGTGTCGACCTCGCGATACGGTGAGTACTCACCACACACTCCACCGCCCGTCGTGATCGCCGTCACAAGCTGCCAGGCATGCCTCTGCACGTTGTTGAGGACATGCCGTGTCAGCGCCCTGTTGCTCCGGCCCGTCTCCACGCTGCGAGCAGATGCGCCGGAAGGTCAAGATGGCGAGTACAACGAGTATGAACGCTCGAGCGCGTGCTCACCTTAACAACGCATACGTGCCGCTCAACACACCGACGACAGCGCGCTGTGCTTTCGCATGGCCCCGGACAGCCCTCCCGCCCTCCTGATCCGCCTTCGTTACGAAATCACGTCCTGTAACGTGTCGATTTACGACCCAATTGACGCGAGTGCATGCTCATCCCGTCAGCACGCTCGCGCCGCACCACGTCGCAAAAACGGCGCCCTCGACGCCCTTCTTCCGCGAGACCATCCTGCCACGCAGCCACCACCATTTACGCCGCGATCTCCGCCATGTCGCCTGTGACGCATCACGGAGACGCCATCTGGAACCACTATCGGTGAGTTACAGAACTAAGGAATACAATGTGTGCTTACCTCGCGAGCAGGGCTAGCCACGTGGGCAAACTCGTGCCACCCTCCTCGTGCCATCCCGCCGTGTCGACACCCGCGCCGAGCCCGCGTTGCATGCGGCGGGGCTCAAGCACCGCCGAATGTGGGCGTTGGCGAATGCTTGCGCGCGCGGTGCACCAGTCTGGGGCTGGGGGCGTGTCATAGTTGCCTGCGGACGCGTCGGAGGCGAGAGTGGGCAAGCAGATGCGCACTCGTTGTACGTTAGCCTCATGCGCGGTGACGGAGGCTCGCCCCTGATCGTTTTGTTCGGCGACACGAATGCGAGCTAGGTCTTGAGCGGAGCGAGGGACAGCAGAAATTAGCGTGTCGGCGCACGCGGCCGATGCGGAGCATAATCGAGGATAATCGAGGACAGAGATGGACGTCTCGCGATCTTCGTACACGTTGGTGTTGTCCAGCGCGGCGTCCACCTTGTCCAGCGCAAAGAACGGCGACAGTTCATAGCTATGTGTCCCGTCAACAACCGCTGCGATAATTGTAACCATGTCGACGAACACTCGTTGAGTTCCTTCAAGGCCCCGGCTGAGCCGTCCTGAAGGTCTAAGTGAGCACCACGGAAACCCTGCCTCACTCACGACGGTAACGCACCTCCCGCTCGTTCTTATCCAAACTGTCGAAGTCGACTTCAATGCCGAAGTCCGAGACCCGCTTGACCTGCTGGGTCCCTTCCTCGTCCTCGTCTACATCCAGCGCCACCTCTTCGCGGAGGTTCTGTCATCAACGCCAGCGAAGAGTGCAGCGTGCTTCGAGACGACGATGCCTCACCTCCTCCATGGGCACGTTCTTGAGGTTTCCGGTAAGCAGCGGCAGCTTAGTCTCATCTAGCCTGCACTTCCGGTAGATCGCGGAATGCTCCAAGCCGAGCTTCTCGATCTCGTCGTTCTGTCGTATCGTCAGCACTTCGCCACACCTGCATCATCAACAGAACAACTCACGCGGCCAACGACGTCCTTCAACGCCTGGTCCAGCGCCTTGCCCGCCCTGTTCGTCGTCTTCTTCACCTCGTCGACCTTCTTCGTCTTCTCTTCGAGCTCTTCCGCGAGCTCCTTTAGGTCGTCTTGCAGTGTCTGTTGAACTTCTGTGTCTACGGCTGTGCCGGACCGGGAGTGGCAGTGATAGTGGCTGTGCGTCTACCATACGCCAGCATGGACTTTCCTACTTACCATATACGTACATTCTTTTGTTCTGTACTTACTTGGCATCCTGCCATCCCTCCATATGATTCTGGTACGTTCTACGATGTTCCGGACTATTCTAGACAGCGTCCGGATTACTCGCATTACTCAGCCATGGACTATCTGACCTTATGTCGATTATGCTCCCTTACTCAGCGTTACTCATCGCTCAGTCAGCGTCCTCTGGACGTCACATGCTCTCTTCTTATACGCTTACTCATCGTCCTCCCCAGTAGTATATAAGGAGGACTCTGCAGGCCTCTGCTCTTCAGTCGTTCTCTCACAGAC